GAGGCTCCGACGAGCGTGGGGCCGGGGTGCTACAAGCCACGGTGTGACGGTGCAATGACTTGGACAGCAATCGCTGGACTCACACCCTTTCTTCTTGCGCTTCTTTTCCTGCAGTGTCCCGGTCCATTCCGTGTTGTCCGTTGTCATTTGGGCCAAAGGCGCCGATGGGATGTTCACCGGCGCGCAAGGCACAGGCAAAGAGCAAATTCGATGTCAGGCGCCCTCGGATCTCACCGGCGCGCAGGCGGCTGTGGCGGTGGGTGAGCGTGGGAAGGGCTGCCCGTGCGCCAGTTCTGCCGAGAGTTGCGCACTGGAAGAAGAACCCTTCGGGCTGGCAGTGCGTCGTGTAGGCGAGTGTTGATAGTTAAATAGACAATGACCTAGGCGTCGGACCCCATAGCTCCATTCGAAACACATTGCGCCACAGAAACTGCGCTTTGACATGGTGCGCGTTTGACTACTTGCACCTGCCAAGGCCGCTGGGTTTGAGGGCCAAATCCCTTGTTTATTGCGCGACAAAATGACCAGCAATGGTGCCCACGAATCCACGAGAAGGCACATGAAACCCGTGTAGCACGTGTGAGTTCGGCGATTTGACCAGGAAAAACCTTGTGGCACACGTGGCACGCAACCCAGCGAGGGTATTGTTTTGTCCACTCTCCCTTACTGCTTTTATTTCTGTGTTAGCTCAGTTGTTAGCTCCAACGCCATTGAAACGTCCGGCGTTGTTTTGCAAGTTGTTGTTATTGTTGTTGTTGTTGTGGTTGGGTGCCCACGATAGGTCATTCTGTGGCTTCCGCCTCGGGACAGCTGGGACCGCGGGAAGCACACTAGGTGATGTGAAGGAGTGGTGCCAGCATGAAGAAACCTTTTTTCAGGCTGGAACATAACTTTTCACATGGCACAGCTGCTCAATTCTAATCCGCAGCTGCGCTTTTCAAGGGCAAATCGTCCAACACAAGGGTTGCAGTGCTAAGTTTGGCATGTGGTCAAGCAGGCTATCGGCAGCGCATTGAAAAACATGTGGCCAGCCATTGAGACGGACATCCTTCCCGGCTGTGCGCCGATCACCCCAGCCACACCACTTGGAGACATCGCGTGTTGCTGGTTTGGACTGCATATGGGCTAAAAGTTTTGTTGCGCAGCTTTGCCGAAAGGCGCGGTCTGCGTGAGGCATTCGGGATTGTTTTCGTAGGCCCGGGATGCCCCAACTTGCTCCAAGCAGCGGCGTTGAGGTTACGCCGTAAATGTATATATAATATATATATATATGTTGGGGTGCGCGATGGTCACAGAAACCCAGTTTACCAGGGTTTGTGTGAGTTTCCATTTGCGATTGTTGGTTACGATTTTTGCGACGGGCAACAAGGGTGGCAACAACGGTGCTGCCAGACCTTCCACATAAACCATCGCAACCTCGCTGGGCACGCAAGTGTGCCAAATGGATTGTGGTTCCGGTCTTGTGCGCCAGGTGACCATGGTGAGAGCTGCGAAAGTGGATGGGACTACGGTGCGCCTTTGTGGGGTGACCGGGCGGCCCGCCGTTCGAGGGTTCCCCTCCATATGTTCATCCGTGCTGCTGAGTGGGTTGGGCAAGGTATTCAAATGTATTCATCAGTGCCCTCCGTGCGACGTTTCCAAGGTATTCAAAGACGGAATGAACCAACTTAAGTCCCAGGCACAACATCGCCCGTTCTTTTCAAGGAGAGGCCTGCCCTGCAATCTTTTAGGGGGGTCTTCATGCTGATGTTTAGGTACCATGCGCCACTTGAATCATGTTTATCTTCCGCGCCGGACCAGAAACCCCGCTGGCGTGACTTCGTGTGGCAGGTGCCTCGCAGTCGGCCCCATTTGAATCAGATCATGGTGGGGGAGCTCAAACCGGGGTTGATCCGGAAGAAAAGGCTCTGCCTTCGGTGGCGCTCCAGGTGTGGCGTTGGAGTTCGACGAGGAAGAAGGGGTCCTTGAAGATAAGGGTGGCCATATGTGACCGCCATCGATTCAATCCCTGTCATTCATCGAGGCTGTCATCATCCCGTGGGGCCAACAAACGAAGAAAAACCAGAAAATGGCCACATCATATGAATCGCTGAAAGGATCTGGGAGTGGCGTAGATGAGCAGTCACTTAGGATAAAACTTGGAAAGAACCATAATAGGCAATGGCGATTCGAAGCGCATTAGCACTTCGTGGCATGAAACAATTGAAGCAAAATGATGCGAAACGATGTGAAATGGTAAACCTTCAAAGCCTTCAAACACGTCAATGGCCCAGGAAAAAATGCCGAGGTGAAGAATACAGAACAATATGTTTGTATCATCGAATCTCCATATGGCAAGGCCAGGCATCGCTTCGTTGCAAGAGCTTGCGAATGCTCAGCGCCGTATTTGTGCAAGTGGAGTGACACCTATCAGCTATCAAACCACTAAGAATATTCAAACACATGTAAACAGGTGTTGTTTTTTGAATATTGGTTCCCTTTAGCTAGACAAATTTGGCGACACCCACGCACATTTGGGATTTGCCGATCAGGCGTCAAAGATGTCGAATAAGTTCACTTTCTATGCCTCAGTTGGGGGTGTTTCCGCACCATCTTCAGTTTAAAAAATATCATATGTCATGTTTGGCAACCAATGTCCAATGGCCCAGGAACATTCCTGAAACATCCTGACATAGAGGCATCGAACAAATCAAGTGGACAAGGTGCTAGGGCTCCTGGCCCATATCCTCAGGTGACCGGTGGTTAGACCTCCTTGGCACCCACCCTAGCCACCTTGTAGTTGGAACCCTAGGGATAAGTGGTTACCATCCACAGACAGCTGAGTCTTCCAGTGGGCTGGACAACGTCGCCAGCGTGCTTGGAGGGATCGAGTGGATTTTCCGGAGTGAGTGAGGTGGGTCTAGTACTTCTGGCCATGGGCACCCTCATCGTCTACATGTCCGGCACCAAGTTGGCAGGGCACGGTATCAGGTAAAGAACTTGACTTGCCACTCTGAAGTGTGGGGGTTCACCCTCCCCTTCTGCGGGGATGCCAGCTGCGGAGTGCACGCATGGGAGTGGTGTGGGACAGCATGGTCAATTGTATGGTACTTGGACATCAGCGCCCAACATCCACCTTCTTGTGAACTTCTTGGATGCCCCTGTGGGATTTCCGCCTTAGGCGCCGCAGACGGCGTGTTGGGGTGGACGGACTGGCCCCCGCGAACTGGCGGGCCTTCTCCTTCTCGACGTTAGGCGTTCGTGTCAAAACCGGAACCCTTAAACCCTGGTTGGTTGACCTCCCCAGTAGTCTATTCTGTTCATGTTCTGTGGTCAACCAGGGTTCCCCGGTTTGGACCCAAAGCCATATATAATATATACCGGTCCAAAGATGTTCAGCAACAAGAGGGGGTGACTTTGCCCTCTGCGAAGTCTTCATGACCCACCCTTGCCCATCCAAGTGAATGAACGTGGGCCTTTTCGTACAAGAAAGCATTCTTCAAAGGGCCCAGTCACGCATGCCCTACTGGATTTACTGTTGCATGGTTTTTCATTGGAACGATGCCAGTGTTAAGCCCCAAAGCCACCAGGCCCATTTGTTTTATCATGCTTTAAGCAGGCCGTAACTGGGCAGAACCCTTGAACAACAGCACAGCTTCTGTAAGTACCTCACCCTTGCAGCTGCAATTCCTTGGTTTCTTTTCAATGCTTCTGGAACTGCAACATGTATCTCATTCTTTTGTGTTTGCGCATGGCTTCTCACAGGCTGCAAGAAAGTTTGCTCAAAAAGTGGTAGGCTTTGTGTTTCAGACTTAATTTAAGGTTTGATCCTGGGATTCTTAAAACGTTGCAACTCACAAAACTGAGACTGCATGCCTTCACTTGAGGCTAACCTCATGAAAGGTTCTAGTCAGATACCGGTTCACTTTAAAGGCACTCTTTCACGGGCAGCTGCCGCTGCTATGCTGCTGAGAAAGCTTGGCCAGGTTAAATTCAGCCACTGCGGCTACCATGCCCTTGTGCAGTTTATAGTTCCATCCCAGATGACCCAAATGGCTCAACCCCATCACAAAAAATACGCACTTGTTCCCGCATGCATGCTTGTCGAGGGCGCGAGAACTAGCGAGGCGCCCCGCCCTTTCCAGAAGAAAGGAAAGGATCCTACCCAGCCAGTGGGTAACCTGCAATTACTTTTTTGTAGACTAATTTTCCGATTTAGATCCTACAGGTGGACAGTTCAGCTCACCTTTCTTCGATCTCTTGCTCGGGGGCTGCCAGCTCTTGAGGTATCGCATCATCGACGACCTGCATAAAGAGCAGCAGGATGAACGGCTAGGGCAGGGGCCCACCTGGTAAAAGAAGGGAGGGATCGTTGTTTTCCAACACTTGGTCTTGCAGACACATGTGATAGAGAAAGAGGAACTTCTTTAATTAATCACTTCGTTCTTTGGCTCTAAGAGGATTGCTGAAAAATCTGACTGTGTGGATGAACGTGGGCATGGCGGGGCGCCAAACTCTGCCTGCCGAGGGTTGCCAAACTCCAGGGCTCGGTGCTTATCCTGCTTCTACCTTTGTCTAAACGTTTTTTTTTTCTCCAATACCACTCCATGTTTGCGGGATGTATGTTTGGCTTCTTTTCACTCGGCCGGGCTGATCTTCCAGAGAGCGGCAGGGCAACACAGAGCAATCTACCAGCGAAGTGGGTATTACAGTGGTGTCAGTTGTTTATGGTAGACCCCCATATAAAGGACATTTTTGTGTTTGTACCATGTGCTCTGAAACCACTGTAACAGAAATTCGCCTACTGGAAATTGGGTCAGCAGATCTGCCAATCTTCTGCCAACCTTTTTGCTACTCAGAAGATCCTTCGGTCAGATCAACCAGATGACATTTCATCCAAAATGAGATTTAGGACATTTAGGAGGTCTTACGTAGTCAGACCAAAGATCCTTGGGTCAGATCCTCAGCAGATGATCCTTCAGTCCGACCATTTGCAGGACCTTCGTGGTCAACTCACTGCAATGGCCAAAGACAAGTGGCGCGGGGCCCTGGAATGCCCTGGATGAAGCATCCAAGGCTCACCGTGTGATGTCACATGACTCACAGCACCTAGATTGGTTGGAGCTATGGATGACAACATGTGGGCTGTGTGTCAAAACCCTACCACCCTGGACCAGACCGTGGATCACCTGAACCGATTCCCTGACGTTCGGCAAGCGGATGAAAAGGGGCAGCGAGGTGCCCTGACAGACCGTGAAGAGTATCGTTGACTCAACCGATGACGGACGAAAGCCGACTCGACTCGCGGTCTGGGTGAATCGATGTGGAGGGTCCACGCCGACGTCCTGAGGCAGCGGAGCCATGACGACTCCTTGATCCGACTCAGGGACCCTTTTTCTATTGGTATTCATCCGATGCAAGCTTCCATCTAACTAACCGTTAACCTCACACCGTAAGGTATACATAGGTATTCTATGGTATACTATATGCGTTATGTACATGTGAGAGAGAGTGCCCGTGTGAGTGTGTGTTTGAGGACCTTGGACGGCGTCTCCGATAGACTGACCCGGCGGCCCGAACGGCACAGCGATCACCGGCCACGAACGGACGATGGTGCAGGCCACACCTCTTGGTGCATCCTGGCAGGCGAGGAGCTGAAGCTGGGTGTTCTCCACAATCGTCATCCTGGAATAGATAGAATCTGGATCGAATATGGGAAATTGTCCCAAAAACATATGGGAAATCGGACATTGGTAATTTTATGTGGTTGGTTCATCTCCTATCCACGGATTGTTTGTGACTTAATTACAGGTGCAGGGCTTGAGCCACCGGCCCCAGTGTGTATGGACCATGCAAGCACATCGTGAGGACGAGTAGTAGGATGAGAAAGTGCACACCCCCACACAGATGTCTCAGATGCAGGTGTTGGTGCTGTTAGAGAGGTAAAGAGGCTATGAAGGATTTGGAGCTCGGAGAGCTTGGTTGTGAAACGATGCGTCCCTCACACCGCCAGCACAAAGGAACCACCTGATAGATATCCATAGATGACACTCACCGAAAAAAAAAAGAGAAAAACACATACTGTATATATATATATATATATGTGATTTTTCAACGGCACCCTAGTTCTGCAATTTCTTGCAAAACATCCTTTTCCCCTTTTCCCATAGAGTGATAGAGCACTTGGATCCGTGCCCCAGTGTTTGCCAGCAAGCGGCTGCTTCAGAGTTCAGGGCCATGTGCCCCCACGTGTTTCCCAAAGGCTCTGAGACCCTATCTCTTGCAGCAGCAAAAGGGAGCTGATTCTGCAACATGAGGATTCCAAATCTATCAGCGCCTGACGGTCTGGGTTGATGTGGCATGCCGTGACATATGTTGCACTTTTGAGGTTTCTATTCACCTCCCGATATGTGAAGTCCATCCGCTGTGTCCGCGCCCACGCGCCGTGTAGCGTGCCGCGCGTGGCCAGTGAGAAGTTCTTGGATTCCAAAGGTGAGTACCTGGGCTGCAGCGCCTCTCCCTTCGGATCACCTGTCCAACCGAACTTGTTGGGGGATTGGTCTCGTTAAAGGCGAAGAACAGGTGGAAAAAACTTGACCTTTCTTCTCCAAAAAATATCCGGCTCGTGAGTCAGTCGTCTGGGAGGAGCTGGGGGGGCAAGCGAGGACGTTGATCCTTCACTTTCCGGGGGTTCGAGCTGGCGAAGTCCCTCAAAAACGCCAAGTGCGGCTTGGATCGACGTTTCTCCATTGCGGTGTCGACATTTCTTGGAAGCAGCACCTTGCAGAGGCAAAGAGTGACTGTGTAATGAAGGGCCCAGGGGCGATGTAAACACCTTGGGTGTGGAAATGTCGCCCTCCCGCCATTTCTTTGGGCCAAAAAAACCACTTCTTGCCGGGCGACCACACGCGGCTACCTGTGAGCTCATGTGGTTCTTATGGACCATCCTCCTGTGCAAAGCAAGGTAACCATCCTCCTTTCATGCTTAAAAGTGACCTTTTCCATACCAGAAGGACACGCCTTCCATATCTCCTGCTTGCTGCTGCCCGCAGGTCAGGCCAGCTGGGGATGCGAGGGCGGGAGCAACGGCTGAAGATACAACAGCACTCCCAAAACCAACATCAGAAACGCCAAACGAACGATGCCAAGCTACTTCTCAACCCCTGAACCAAGAGGAGGCAGGCATGCTTGAAGCATAGACACCGACACAAGCCGCGGAGGCCATGCCAGAGGAAGATGCAACCACAGTGGTTCTAGAGAACAATCGGAACAATCCGTCGAGCATGCACTGTAGTGCCGCATGTCCCCAACCTCCTGCCACCCCCTCCGATCAGCGGCCATGGCGTAAACGTAAACCCGTCGTTTCTCGTCTTCCGCGAGTTTCCACCGCCCAAGGCCTCAACGCTTCGCAAAGACCGTGGGCTCTAAGGAGGCGAAACTGAGCCTGAAAACACGGCTGACCACCAGAGGTTGAAGGACCCCACATCGACTATCCCAGTTGGGTACTCCACGAGGTCCTAGTTCAGGGTCATACTAGTCGGTCATGAACCACCCAGACCCAGTCTGCTGCTGACAGCAGGTCTTTTCCCCAACGTGGATGGCTAAGAAAGATAGGCTTTGCTGAGCCTTTGGCACCCAATCGTCAACTTGTGCCACCTGTGCTTCACTGGATTGATGGATGTCTGATGTCGCTGTTTATGTTGTCCCTTTTTGCTGGGGCTTGGATTTGTTGACCCCGTTGGCCAAGAGGGTTGAAGGCCTTGTTGACACCAAGTTCTCCGACCAGGACAGGCTCCGACGACCCGTAGAGCATCGAGTGGAAGAGGTGCATCCTGGGCACCTCGACGCAGCGTCGAGGGGGGGGGGGGGCGCCGCAACGGAGCTTGGAGCCGCCCTTCCGTTCTGCGGGTCCCTTCTTGGGGTTGGGTTTGGGGCATTGGGGTATAATTGGAGTTGGATTTGAGGAATTGTTGATTCATTGTCATGTTCATGGCAGTGTTTGCTTTGGGTAGGTTGGTTAGGCCTTCCTAGATCCTGTGCACTGGCCAGTATGTGAGTGTACCGAGGCTATGGTGCGGTCGGCCGGGTCAACAGGTGTTTTTTTCTCCAATTCCTGTCAGCCTTTTGACCATGTTTCGCCCACCGAGGCACATGGCTGCGTTCGAAGTGCCCATCGGCGCAGAAGAGGACGGCCCAGTCTAGACTCGGCACATTTCGATCAGGCCTGTTGGAGGTGTCAATGGCTGGTTGTTGGCTTTCGTTTTTTGGGCGGTGTGTGCTTCATCACATCACAGCAAAATCAGCATCAAAGACTTGATCACAACTAATCACAGCCGGAGTCCAGGTATCCTGACTCAACAATTGTGTCAGCGGTTTTCATGTGTTTGTGTGTTGCTCAAGGCCCAGCACCTTGGGACGCCCTGAAGGGAGGTGCCGCCCTTTTTTGAACATTTCTGGAGCACCATGATGCAGGTACAGAAGAAAGGTACTTACGCCGCGGCAACGATCTAAATCCTCCAAACGCCTATGGTCATCCGGGGTTGCGTGGGTCCTTTAATGTGAGTGTTGCGTCAAAGCAGGGATTTGCTTGTGCCTGGGGGGCGCAGCGAGTGACCAATGTGCCAAACCTGACCAGTGGCTGTAGCCACAGCATGCAACATTCGCCGCCTGGAACGGGTGTTGCAATACAGATGCCTAGGAACCTCAGTGGCTACTTGTGCAAGAAGTATTCAGTCTTAATTGTTTTTTCCATTTAATTTGGTTAGACAACAGCTTGGACCATTCTTTCCGCCCTTGGTGATCACTAGTTCGCTCATGGCTCCAGGAGAAGCGACGCCTGGCGGGCTTTTTTACCACTGGTACAGCCGCAGGCAAGGGCCGCCGGGCAGCGCGCTGGGCACTGTGCCAGAATTCCAGGGGTGCAGCAGGTCGCAACTAAGATTTTTCCAGAGCACCAGTTGAAACATTTGAGAGATTATGAGCGGGGCGTAGGCCTCCATCACACAAGCGTGTTTCCGAATTTTGCTGCTTCGAATGGTGTCCCGGTCTGTGTTATTATGGAGCACGTTTCGTGTTGCCGTCTTTTTTTGTTGGGGAGGGGGGTCAGAGACAAAAAACGCCTAAAGACACATAACAAACACCTCAAAAAGCACCTAAAAACCTCCAATGGCTCCAAACGTCTCGGTTTCTTACCGTGACCGTGACCGTGACCGTGGCACGGGACGAGGCGTTGGCTGCTTTGAGGTGGCGGACTCGGCCAGTGCCCAGCCTCAGACACCGCGGGTCTCCGGCGGGGTGCAGCGGAACAGGAAGAAACGGAAGGAACACGTAGCAAACATGGAGGATATTGAAGGAAGGATGGGACAATGATGAGGACAATGAGTTATATATATATATATATTCTTAAAACTTAGGTGATGATGAGTTCTTGGATTCGTGTTCTTCTTGTTTTTTTAAACTAATCTTTCTGAATGCTCGTCCACTTGCGCCAGCTACCACCTACACCGTCTCCAGCGCAACAGCCTGCAACAGCAATGCCTGCCCGGAAGCTCGAGGGGTGCGACGTTTTTTTTAGCGTTTCTTTCAGCCCACTTTTGCTGTGCGGGTGGCCCCGATACGCCCTGCAAGAAACCCACATGGAACCTGAACATTGAAAATTTGGAGACCATTTTCCTCTATGCCAATGCACAAGGCAGTGGTTTTCAGGGTTCCATGGTTCCATGCTAATTTTCCCGGGTGTAGTTTGTTTTTCTCCTGTAGAGGCATGACTAACATGACCTAAGATGGGCAGAGAGAAGGCGGTGAAGCAATTCGTCGCCAGGGCTAGCATCCGACTTAGTGTGTCAAGCGTATTTCAAGTGCAAAGGGCTGAGGAGGACTATAGAGAATTCGAAGAAGATGGGTTTGCCGGACCTGCTCGGGATGCCATTGGGCAGGTCCGGCAGGCAGGATGAATATTTATTGTGAATTCTTTTTGAGCGCGATGTGGTCGCAACGGTGGGGTTCTGATGGTCTTCCAGCAAAAGACTTTCGGAAATTCCACTCGCGCCCCACGTGGCAACTCTGGAAAACCTCTCCCTACCCGCAGAATCCGGGCCCTTACAGGCCTTAGGATGGGAAGGCTGAGTCGGATTCTCATGCTGAGTCGGAAAAGTAAAGGTCCCCAGCAACCATCCACATCCTCCCTAAGCTGCGCTGCCCATAGCTGCCACCTGTCCACCCTGCCTCCATGCGCGCGCCCAACTTTCGCCCAAAAAGCGGCCTCACGCCTGAGGTCCGGACTGTTTCATCACGCCGGCCACGGTGAGCCAGGATATGACCATCACCATTGCGGTTCGGGGGTCTCAGGGGTCTCTCAGGGGTCTCCAGGAGCAATGATGTCGCGTCGGGAAGATGTGCGGGACATGGTGGGACCGTTCCATCCGAAAGTCACGGATGGACATCCATTGGACCAACGGATTCTTTGAACTTGGAACAAATCTTGAATCACCTTGAGCAGATCGATAGCGGTCTTGCCATCAAACCGCCATCAAACCCTTCCTCCATGAAAATCAACCTACAGCTCTGCTGTCCCCGACCGACTGAGACGACCCCAAGGCGATTCCGGTGCTACGACCCCACGAGCCACCCATGAACGCTGCGTCCGCCGAGGCCTGCAGCACGGCCCAGTGGATCCGCTCGACGACCCGCACGGGCGTCGCCCGGCGGAGGGAGCGAACACCACGGGGTGCGCGGTGGGAAAGCGCGAAGAAAGCGCGGCCCAAACAGCATGGGTCGAAGCCGGAGCTTTCCTGGGGAAGGACCCATACGGAGTTTCTGCTGGATTCCGGGAGTTGATGAGCCGGTGATAGGAGGTGTTGTTTTAGTTGTCCATGTGTTGGGATTTGGTTCTGCAAGATGGGTTCGGAGACCAGATTTGACACTTGGAATCTGCAGTTTTTTTACTTGCCCAGTCTTGTCGATGGTGGTCGGAAAGACGTCCAAGTCGCATGCCACCACAGGGCTGAGGTCATGTGGATCAAAACATCATAGTCTTGCAGGGTATGTTGGTACTCATGCTTTTGTGATGGCACCCTGAACCCCCAATGCCAAGGGCAATCCTGCAAATTTTGCTCGTGATGCCGTCGGTGGTTCTCCGGAGGGTATTTTAGCCTCTTCCCTTGACAGTGTGTCAATCCAAATGCTTAGATCGTAGATCGATTCTCTTTGACAGTTCGACTCCTTGATGAGCACAGGAACTTCGGTGTTTGTGTGCGATTTCATGGAACTGTTTAGAGGCCGTAGTTATTCTATGGAGTGGCTTGATGAGTAAGGCAAGAAACAGGTCATTTGTCACCAGCGGCAGTGGAACCAACTCGGTAACGAAGCTCCAGCTGTGTCACATCATTTGACGGTTGACCTCTTATGACATCTTCCAGCAGTCACAACGGGGTGGTGTTTAGTCCCTAAAAGAGTGGATCATGGACACCCCTACCCTCCATCAAGCACCCCTTTGTGACTGCTGGTTGTTGTTTCCTTCAAGACATGGATTCACAGCACTTCATTATTTGGGACAGCAGACTTTTGGGTTAGACAGTTGGACCACTGCAATCCGTTGCCAGGACCCTGGCAGGGACCTTCTTGTTGGCATTTTTTGCTGTCTTACAGTATTTCTCCATATTTCTCCTCAACCTGTTCGTTCCACGAAATTTCGCGCAAGTACAGCGTCGTCCGCCAAAAAGCATACTGTAACTTTTGCGTTCGTTGGAAGACCCAGGGTTTACAGGTTTAGAAGTTTAGACTGCTGAAAATTGTGTACAGTGGGATTTGACCGCACATCCCCGCGGTAAGACCTGCAGCCCAGGCAAAAAGCACACCCCGTTTTCGTAGCACCCTCCCGGCTTGGTGTCTGGCGATATCCTCTCAGGCTTGGGAGTACAAGTTCATCAACACTCACGCAACGTACACCATGAGCATCACGGACAACAGTGGATCCGGGATCACCTACAAGGCCAGTTGAGTCAATCGGAGATCTGACCGGCGGTGGGCGAACACTTCCCGGCGAGAACCACACGAACATTTAGACATCCTTGGTCCTTGCAGTTCCGGGTTTGGACGAGAACATGACGAATAAACAAGTGCAAGTGGCATGCCTCGGAAGCTGCAGCGAGACGGCTAAGGTATCAAAACATATCTAGGGCTCCCTGTGCCCCTCGCGTCCTGGTGAGCGGAGCGGAAGACGAAGACAGACGACAGACGACTCGTTGGGGCCGCGGACGGTGCCTGCGATCGCGACAACGCCTGCAGGTGCCCCCTCAAAGCCACGTGACCGGCTGGTGTACCGCCAGTCTGGGAACGAATGATAGGCGGTCTGGGTGGCGAGTCAGAGGAGCGAGGTGAGGTGAGTTGCGGGGAGGGATATGATTGTTAGAAACCGACCGTGGTGTCTAGGGATGGCCCACAAAGGACTTCAAGGACCAGACATTATAGGATCATATAGGATTTCGATGGAATTCGACTCTAGGTTGTTGTCCTGTTTGTTCCAGAGGGGAGGAAGTGCTGCCCGGAGAATGTATATGATCCAGTTCTGAAAGACGTAAGCTGTGCCCCTGGCTTCTGATGTTTCTGTTTTCAAAGTTTTTCACGATGTGGTTGACAGATGACCCGGGGGTTGTTCAAGGCCAATCCCGGAGGTTTGTTCAAAGTTCGATGAAGCTCCTGCACTTGACCCCATATACATCCGCAGTAAAAGCCAACCAAGTCCGCTCCTAGATCCGGGAATCCTTCGGAGACAGTGGGCGTGACAGACCGTTGGTTCGGGAACCCAATTTTTTGCAGGAGCAGACATAGTTCCGCCATCAAGCCCAGCAAATGGAATTCCGCTCCATATTTCTGCTAGGAATTTTAACTTCAGTTAAGTGCCACCATTGCCACTTTAGCTCCCATCTCTGCAGCCCCAAACCCCAGTTGATTTCTCAGCGGTGTGCTCCCATGTGTGCGACCCGCATGTGTTGAGAGGCTGTATTTCCCTAGCACCACCTTGCCAACGCTCTCGGTTTCTTGGTTGCAGCCAGGGTTCACCATTGTCAGAGGTGACCAACAGTCATGGGGTTGATTCCAAAAAGTGTCAATTGTTGACCAATAAACCCGAGAACAGATCGAGATGTTTGACCATCCAGTTTCTGACATCTTGAGCCCTGCCTTAAGAATCCAGAATCAACTAAGGTCAGTATGTCTTGTACAGCTTTGGAACACACATGTTGGGAGGTTTTTTTTGGCACGGCGCACAAGTTAGTCCGGCCGCAAGTGGCTTGGAACGGATTTGTCACACCGGTCGATGTATTGAATCCACTCGGTCGGTCTCCATGCACTCCACTGGCCACTCCAAAATCGGTGGTTGGCAGTTGAACAACTGGAGCCAGTTCTGCCCCTAACCAACAGGACTATCACAAGTGTTGAGCTTCCAATTCAGGGGTGTGTCACTTGAAGAGCAGGGCGCTGACCGCGCTGTGGGCGGATCCACCGTACGGTGGTGCTGTGAGAGAGGGAGCGTGTGCACGTCAGCGGGTCCACGAGGGAGCACGAACGCAGGTGCCAAACGGGAAACATCGAGAAAAGAGATGCACAGATTACTAGTTGAATCTATATAGTTGAGCATGGTTGAAAGACACATCGGTGTCATTAGCTGATGATGTATATAACCACTTGGCCAATAATATGAGGAATGGCGAGTGGCCCCTTTTGGGAATTGTTATGGCCTGTTTGTTCTTGGATTCCATAGCGGCATGAAACCCGCACTGGTGCAGGCCGCGGGGGTGTGCTCAGTGTAGTTCGCTCGAGCCTGCCTTTCACCCAGCTCTTGGCCGAGTGGACCAGCACTAATTTTGATGGGAATATCTATCAAAATGGAGTCACGAGGTCTAAACTCTCATCTCAAAGTCTGGCGCAAGGCTCACGAAGAGTTCTCGTCATTCCAACCTGTTAACACTAGCAAACGGAACAACTCATACCTCGGTATCTATAAGTGAGTCCATCCCAAGGCGGGCTCCATTCGTCTCCATCCTCTCCAGTCTTTTTCCAACCCCCGGTGCCGTAACGCTGCGGCTCCACCGCTGCTAGCCGTTCAGAAATCAGGTGGATAGCGGCTTGACCTTGTCGGCTGGCGCCTTTGATGCCAGCGCCAGCTCAGGCAGCGGGGCAGCGGTCTGCACCCGTCCTCGCCCGACGCGCGGCGCCGCCTTTTCGACCGTTTCCGACAAGGCGGAGGAGCGGAAGTCTCCACGAAGTCTATGTCATGACGGGGGGTTTGGAAATGGTTGAACGTGGTTGAAACATCATAGGAGTGGTGAAGGCGAGTTCTTCGGTTTCGAATGTTCCCATGTTTTTGTCGGGGAGGAGGTGAGCACTGTAAAGTTGCAAAGGACGCCTGTACTTCATGCATCGTCTCAGCCACGTTTTGGACTTTTTTCGACTCAAGTGAACAGAGAAATCATATCCTCTGCCAGTTTTTCGACGTCATGTCCTTCTCCAATCTAAGACCACGCTTCCATATGCCGGTGTCCCACCGGTGTCCCACCAGCTGCTCCAGTGCCGAACACCGAGCCTCACCAGGTGCTTTCAGCACGAGTTCGGGCACGTGCCACGCCTCGGGTAGAGACGGGACCCGGTCCGACCCGGGTGGCCCCGGGGACCGGGGGACCGGGACCTGGGGACCGGAGTTCGTCCGGGTCACATTCCCTTTGATATACCTTCTTTTGGTCCTCTTCCGAAGGACGCAACAAAAACCAGAAATGACTTGCGGAAAAGGAATTGTAAGTTTGAGAGAGTTACATTTGGGTGTGGCACTTCAGAGGCCAAAAAAGAAGCTTGATGATCTTGATTTCAGGAGGTGCAGTCAATCTGATTGCGGTGCTGGGCTTGATACCTCTTGAAAGGAGGGCAGAGCTCTTGGTTTTTGCGGGAATTGCCGGGGAATAGCGCAGCAACATACCCTTCGACTTGCCCAAACCCGGCATAGCAGCGTCGTGCGAAACCCTGGGGATAGGTTTGAGGGCGATCGCGAATCAACCTCCTGGCTGGACCAAAAACACATCTTTGACATCAAACAGTTCGATGGTGTTTGGTTTCATGTACCCGCCCTTGCAGAAAATTCGCGCCTCGACTCGCTCGAGGAGCCCAGCCTGAAGTGGCTGAACTGGCAAGCTTACCAAGAGAGGTTAAGTGACCTTATAGGACCTTACTGGGGTACCTATGGTACTATGGGATAGGCATGGATAGGCTATAGGGGTCCTTCAACCTCTGTTGTTAGTAGGAAAAGCATGGCCTAGACATTAGACCAGACCTGCCCAGACCAGGTCTGGAGTTCCAGTTCGTTGCGACCGGCGCCCGAGCGGAACGCTTCCACGGCGCCCGTTCCGTTCCGGAAAACGTCTGACATGGGGATGGGGGAAACCCCATGTCAACCAGAACCAGGTGAGCACCGCAAGAAACCTGCCAAGATGAACTAAGTACTTGTGATAGGGGTGAAAAATCATACGTCTTTTGCAGAGCTCAGGTGGAGTTTGAAACAAGGGCAAACCGCGAAGCATCTTCCAGAAATCGCAAGGGGTTCCTCCGTTGAGGAACACTTTGAACGGCAACACCGTCATCAACGGTGCCGGCACCTTCAGCACGGGCACCGGCAACGTTGGCCTCAACGGCAACGTCCTCATCGCCGACTCGTTTCTTGGGACGAAGGTGACGGAGGGGAAGTGGGGGGTGGAGGGTGATGCCGAGGGGGGGCGCAATGCGGTCTGAGAAGTGAGCGAAAAGTGGTCCGGATGTTGTGAGCTGGTCACAAAATGAAGGGGGAGGTGGAAAGAAGGTGATGAAGGAGCGGCGTGCAACGCGGCAAGAGAGGCCAAAGTAGAAGTGGCCCGGGGATGTAAATGCTCTAAGCTATGATGTGTTGTGAGTTGGTCGCAGATGTGACTTGTAGCTGTATGCCACTGAGCGCTCTGGAATTATGAGCCACGACCTTGCCTTTGCTAGCTGCTAGTTGCTGGCCTCTGGAATTAATCAAGTCAAGACGAGCCCTGACACCTTAGATTAGATGCTGCCACATGTGATCCTTACATATCCTTACTCTCATGTGTCTTTTTCCCAGCAGCGTGGCCAGCACAACTGTGTAATAAGTTTGGGCAGCATGGATTGGGAGGCCTCCCGCGTGCTCCAATTGGTTTAGGAGTTGGGAGGGGCCGGCCACCGACAAAGCTAGAAGTGAAATTATCATATTTAACGCACTCTTTGCTCGGGCCAACATCTTTCCGTTTTTCTGGACCCTATTCCATAACCACCACCACCACCGCCGCCGCCGCCGCCGCCGCCACCCTAAACCTTCATGCCCCGCGACTGCCATCTTTGGTGCTGGTGGGGCAATCTTTCTGCATCCTATCCCTCAACCCCACCACCTCCCAATAATGATTGTTGATTAACACACTCCCCCTTGCCGGCGTGGGACATTTTCATGAAAGCGGCCTTCACAAACTCAACTCTACCATCCATCATCCGTCATCGAAACTGCTGTGTTGGGGGCATGGCATGGCTCAAAACGTCATAGCAAAGAAGGTCAACTCCATCCACACTAAGCCTGCCAGTCAGAGCCTGCCAGGCTCAAGTGAATTCCCTGGTCCATTCCGCTCGGCCACCCAGACCTCTTCCCATTTCCACCACGCCACGCCACGCCACGCCACTCCACTCCGCTCCACTCCGCTCCACTCCGCTCCACTCCACTCCACCACGAGACCATCCGAGACGCCCAGGATGACCTTCACCGTAGGCTCCGCGGGCAGCGGCGGCGCGGCCGCCTTCTACGGCACCGTGGCGATCGGCGCCTCAGGCGGGCGGAAGCCACTCACCAGCTACGGGGGGTGGAACCCTCCAACTGCTTGGCCTGGGCACTTGGGGTCCGGTCCAAACATGTCCCAGTTAGTAAACATGAGTCTTTTCAAAGGGGCAAAGGGAGGCTTTTTCACCTCTTTTCACATCTTTTCACCTGCCTGGATCTTCCGTGCACCACAGATTCCGTGTTTTTTCTTTTTTAAATTTTGTATGTCCTTGATTTTGGTCCAAAGGCCCTTGGCCCCACCCTTCTTTCCAGTGCCGGCCGACGGCCGCCCTCAGACGCTGACGGTCGATGCCGTGCAGGTGTGGCGGGTCAGGGGCGCACCCTCACGTTGACGGGCGACTTGACCCAGCAGGACCCGACCAGCTCCTTGGCGGAGAGGCGGGTTTGTCCCGAAGGCGTAGGCCGAAGGGTTCGACGTTTTATAAGGTATGTGGGGGGTAGGGTTGGTTCGCCTATATACGTGCCTTTGATTTTGGAACATTCTGCCGTTTCTTTCTTTTTCGTTGTTCTTTTTGGGGGAGGCCAGCTGCAAGTATGTGCTGCAAGCATGTAGTCTCGAGGCTGCTGGTTTTCCTCGTTTTTACGAAGGTGGGGTGGGGTGAGGGGAGACATCAGTTGAGCTGCATTGCTTGGTGACGACTTCATTCGTGATGATGTTGTAGTGCTCCAAGCTTGGGGAAGGTAGACTTGTGCAGGCTTCAAGTTGCTTTAAGTGAATTCCCCGATAGCCCCAACACAAGAATCAGGTTTCAAAGCACCGTAGTTGAGATCGTTGGGGGGGGCCAATGGAAAAACACGACAACACTTTCCAGGTTTGACAGGACTTCTCTCCCGCGACAACACTCCAACGATGCCGAAAAACGCCCAACAGCATGCCCGCGGCAACAGCATGCAGTACGGTGAGGTAGTACGGCTGCGTTCACCACGGGGAGTGGTGCTGTGGGGATCAATGGAGACGTGACCATCGCAGCCAACAAGACGCTCAGCCAACAAGACGGATGGTTGCTGTGGTGCTGCCCGCGGGGTATGCCGATCTCAACGTTGAGGTTTTTCAGGGATGCAGGGATGAAACCAACAAACTCCATGCATGGTGATGTATGGCATGCTTCATAGGTTGACCCTTCAACCACCCCAATGTAGTGCTCTATCGAAACTACATCTATTATATACTATATACTATTTGTAATACTTTTTCTCAAGGGGGCCTCCATGTAGTTCCTCGGTCCTTCTTGTGCCCCCCTCAATTGTAGGAACTCTGGTTCGCAGCTGGGCCGGCTGGCTTTCGTGATCGCTTGTGAAGCTTTTCGGGGACCAGCCCATCCGGACCTGCCTCAAATGATGGGACGATTGAGTAAGACATTGACATGTTCGATGCTTCGGGAGCCCTAGTGGGAGCCCTCTCCTCCTCCTCCGCCTCCTCAGTCGAGTCAATGAGTTATCGCATGTTCGGACCATGCCTCCATTTTCGGATCCTTCATGCGGGTGGTCTTCGCAGGCGAAACCTGCACCGAACGCCGCGTTCCGCGTTCCGACCGCGTTCGGGTTCCGACGCCTGGCGCGTTCTGAGGCACCTGACGATGACGAACACGGGCACGGGTGCCTTTACCACAGGCACTGGCGCGATCACCCTCAACGGCGCCACCACGGCTGCATGGCTAAAGGGGCGCAGGGCAGGGGTGCAGGGCAGAGGTGTGGATGATGTTGTTTTTGGGAAAGGCTCCATCCCATGCTCTTTGGACAGCTCCTATGCCATAGGGTCCAGGTACCTCCTGAGGATGGTCTTGGAGGTGAATGGTCTTTTGGGCCAAAAGGACGTCCTCAGGATGCTCCTGGGTATATATAGATGCAAAGCTCATCCTGGAGTGTTCAATGGGTGGTTTTGGTTCCACCGAGGTTCCGGATCCGGCGCCCGTTGTCTTTGCTGGCTCCGTCAGCATCGGTCAGCCAGTCCGCACGGCTATGTAGTTTGTAAGTCAGGCAGGCACACCAAGCCCCAGAAGCCAAGCCCGAAAAGATCCTCTTTTCAATCCATGCGTTCCTTCAATGCCGGCACCAAAACCCCCTTGCCGCCACCGTTCGACGTCGACGTCACGGCCCCCGTTCGGGTTTCGGGCTCCGTGATCGTTCGAGCTCGCCAGATCACGGGCAGCAACACCTTCACCACGGGCTTGGGCAATGTGGAACTCAAGGGTGCCACCACCGTGGCGGACTCGCTCCTTGGCACGAGCTCCGGGGTCCAGGTGCTCCGGACCGGTGGCGAACTTGCATCGGGCCACGGGCGCGCAAGCTTTTCACAAGCTTCCTACTATAGTGTTTGGGTTCCAACTTGATTGTGGGCCTGAGCCCTGTGTCTTGGGCTCACATGAAATGGTTTAAGTGGATCCCCAAGAGCTGAGGCTAAAGCGAAAAGGTTTTTGAGGGATGAACCTGCATGGCAGAAGGTGGCAGAAGATACTGGACAACTGATTGTGAGCCTATGCCTGTGGTCCCCCCGGTTGGCAGCCGGAGATGGTTCAATGATGTTCAATGGCTTCCTTCGGTCGCGGCCCGTCCAGGACCGCCTTCACGGTGGGTTCGGCCGGCGCGGGTGGCACCACCACCCTCTATGGAGCGGTGGTCGTTGGTGACTCGACAGGCTCGCCAGACTGGGACGCGGGTGCGGATGCGGGTGGGGCGGGCGAAGTACTTCGGAAGACTGTTTGTTTGTGGTTCTATGTCTTTTCAGCGGTGCTGGTGCTTTTCAGAGTTCGCCTCCAGCCGTTCCTTCCGGTAGCGGTTTGTGGCACTGTCGAAAACCATCTTCCGTGGTAGCAGTATGTACAGGAGATCTTAGGCAAGGCCACGTGCTGGGTATGTAGGGTGGGAGGTCGGTTCACACGCTACGCCAGGGCTATGCTTCCTGCGGGTGGGAACCAAAAATCACGTGCCACACGAGGGCTAAGTTGGCAGGTAGGCCAGGAAGTGTTGTGTTGTATGGTGTTGTGCACCGGGGGGTTTTGCATGGCCATCCAGGAGCGTTCCGTCCGAAATGCCTGTTTTGTCTTCAGTTCACTCACTCACGGCTAGTGTGCGGAAAGAAATGCATGAAGCGATAGGTGCCCAATAGTGCTCACAGCGATCCAAACATACTTACATACTTGGAATCTATGCGCGACAGTTTCACTGGCCATCGGCATGAGCAAGATTTCATGTGTTTCACTGGTGGCTTCCTGGCAGCAGACCCTCGATCTTGAGCGCTGTGAAAACAGTACCAATGGCAGGCACGAAACCACAGTGGGAGCGCATTTTCTTAGCCCACGTTTCCTGTTAATAGATCGGAGTGAGGCAAAACAATGGTCTTTTCCGAGCCGCAGCGGAATTGTGTTCAAAGCATGTCAAAGCTGTGGTTTGGAACATGTGCACAAAGTTCGGGTGTCCTGCACCGTGGAACAATCCCCCCCACCCCCAACCACCTACCAGGACCATCCTATTTGGGTCGCCAATTGGAGGAAACCCTCCACTGCTTAGGGATCTCCAGGGCACACAGACAGGATGGTCCAGGTACAGTTTTCAAGCCGCGGTTTTGGGCACCTTTCAGGCGCCGCAGCTGTGACGGTGAACGGCAATATCGCGCAGGCGGGGTGACCTTAGCCGAAAAGGTCAGGGAAGCCTAGGCTTGGCAAGGGAGAGGAGGCGGGGGTTTTGTGCGGGAGGGAAGTAGGCAGTGAAATTGTGAAATCATGTGAAATCTGAATTGAATGAGGGTGCTCGTTTTTAGGATGCTGAAGGGGTTGAGGGAAACCCGGGTGCCCGTACAGCACTTCAAGTCCGTTCACCACAGGTGCGGTACGTTTCATGGTGCTGAAAACGGGTATACCAACAGGATCAAACAGGCGGCGAACTCCATTTCCATGATGATTTCGGGGAGTGTACATGAGTGTACCATGTACCCCACGGAGTGTGATGTCAATGATCATTCCTGTCAACATGCCTTGCTGAAACCTGGCTGCAAGCATCTTAGCAATCCTTGAGTGGCCAAAAGGTTCAGCTTCTTGGGGCACCACTGCTGGATGTGTTCGGCTCGCCGACCGAGGGGTCGCCTCGCCGAAAACCCGCGGTTAGCAGGGGTGAGAAGATCACCGGCGATGGTAGATCCCTGTGTCTGACGGAGACAAGGGAATGGTTTGACTAAGGGACCTGCCAGGGGTTTTCCAACGATTTTTCCTTCACAAGGTTATTTAAATATAGAGTCATGACTTCTAGGGTGCGGTGTGGCCAACCATGTCCGCATTTTTCGACGCTGGCACGCACCCGAAAAATACGGCTCACGGTTCCCCAACGCGTGTTCCGTCAGCCAAAGGTCTTCGGGGGCCGAAGGTCTTCGGACACCTTGACTGAAGATCGGTGAAGTTGTGGTCATTGTCACAGCTTGGTCGCCTCCAAGGTTTTCCGCATTCTTTTGCCCATCCAGTTGCAGTTGCCACTATAGCTGGTAACCAGTCCTGCCCAGCCAGTGGGTAACCCTTAACACTTTTCTGCCTATTCATTGTCCGACGGACATGTTCAATAGGGATCTGTGGCTCAGAAGAAACCAGTTCCACAGACTTATGGCAGCCATAGACCCAACGAAGCTTTCCGATTCCTTCTGTCCATCGTCACATCAGTAGCAGGATCATCTAGCATCCACGGAGCTTGGCTTTGAAGGGGTTCCGAAGGGCCCCAAAAGGGCCCTCCAACGGGCAGGTCGCCTGGTGGCCGGTTCCGGGTCCTGACCGGGTTTGGCTCCCCTCGGCTCCCACGGGTCAACCAGTTTTCGGGTCGCAGGTCCGGTTGCTGGAACTCCTTGTTTTTTTTTTCAGGAACAGGGCAGGGTCCAATTCGGTGGTGCTTCGTAATGAATTCATGTAGACTCTTAGAGGACCATCAACCCTCCCAGTTGAAGTGGAAGGTCCCTCTAAACCATGGGAGGTGAAATGATCATCTAAGAGTCTACACTCAGTTCGGATCCATGATGTGATCCATGTTCGACCTACCGAGTTCAGACGACCGGTCTCCTTGGAGCACGACCGGTCGGTCTCCGGTCTCCACGGACGATCGTGGTCACCGCCCTTGTAGCCGCCGAGTGGGCCTTAGTCGCGGCCGAGTGGTGCATGGACTTGTTCGCTTCCACCATGGACTGGTCCCTTTCCTTTCGCGTTCCTTCTGAGCTCAGCTGTGAGACTCTTAGGCATGTAACATGATCTCAACACTGGAGGATCCGTCTCAACCATGACATGTCCGCTCCACCATGGTCCCATCCCGCGAATTTGAGACTCTAAGACTAAGACTCACTGAACTGAACAGGTCCGACCCTCGCCAGGCCGACCCGTGCCGTGCGGTTTCTCTCCTCGTTGATCCCGCCAGGCCGACGTGGGTGCGACCCAGACGACCTTCACCACGGGGACCGGCGCCGTCAGCCTGTCCGGGTCGCCCAGCGGGCGGATCGTGAACGGCGAGCGGAGCGGAGCGGAGTCCGGCGCGGTGTCTTCGACCTCCGCGTTCGGACGGGGGGAGGTGGACGTAGGACGTGGAACGGCAGCCTTACGCATGGTGCGCGAAGTACCATCTGAATTCCACGAGTCTGCAGGAGAGATCTCAAAGAGATGGGGTTGGAATCCGTTTGGCATGATATCCATCATGCCGGGGGCTCGGTCTTGGACGAAACAATCTCATCTATTGAGGTTCTACTCTTTCAATGTCAGAGGATCTAACCATACCACGCCATACCCAAATCCAAAAGAGGACATTCCCTACAAAACCATGGCTTACCACCAACGGACGAGTAGGGAAGCATAGAATCTGAAGAATCGCGCAGGAGCTCGACCCACCAAGCGGAGCTCGACGGGTGTGCGTGGATCTGGTCCCTGGGGTGGCCACGTCGGTCTGTGTGTGGAAAGAAGTCCATCAAGCTGGACGAAATCACCCTGGTTACGTGGAAGTCCATCCGGTCTCGAATGGATGACCGGATGACCATGTTCCTCAAGAGGTTGTGACCTTGGTGACCTCCACTTCCACGATTTCATGGGAGTACGACGCCAGAAGAACGACGGGAACTGTCGGAACTCCAATGGACCATTCCGAACTCCTTCTTCGCACCAAGTTCGACCTTCTTCGACTGGCCCCATTGCCAGCCGCCAGGTGCAGGGGATCCGACCCACCCCAAGAAATCGGGGGTCCCGAAGTTCCAAAGGAAAGGGTGTTGGCTTCGGGTCCGGTCCCCCGCCCATTCCGTCCTCGCGCGACGTGGTGGAAGTTTCGTTTCAGCTGCATGTGAGCCCCACCTGAATGGCAGGAATGGCGATGTGGCTGTGGCTAGTGGGAAGAACCTGCACATGGCTGCCACTGAGCCAAATTCAAGGGCAGAACAGCTGCTTCGTCCAACGACTTCAGTTTGGTTTGGGGTTGAAGTCTGCGTTTATCCTTGGCCAAGCCATGTGCAAGACTCAATGACACTCAACGTGTTTTTCCACGGGGCCAGCTGCGAGGAGCATTTCCAGTTTGGCCCGAACCATCTCTGTCTTCTTCATCTTCTTCCTACGAAGCACAGGGGACAGGGTGCGGCTGATAGGTGTTGGTTCTTCCTCTTCTTGTCCTGCTTCTCCTTCTCTCTCCAGCAGCCCTGTGCTGATGCCTCGATACAGTCTCGAAACCACCCGAGAGGCCACACCACCTCTCGAGTGCTGATGGCCACACCACATGGATAGAGAGACCCGATCCTGCCATGCCTGAAGGTCCGCCATGCTGCTCATCAAGTGGCCCACCTTCCCAATGGTTGACCACCACGGGGCCAATGAAAACATCCTCTTTATCTGCATATACCGATGTGTAAAAAATTAGTAAATTGTTCTTGAACAAGATGCAGTTGCCAGGATTTGCAACTTGCGAGTTCGTTGATGTTTTCTGTGTTTTCCGTGCATTTGGTGTGTTCAGTGGGGTTTAAGCCATGGAGCCCCACTCGAAACGAAAACCCCTGAAGAACAAGGTCAAACCGGCCAACATGTAAAGGTTTGTTCCGTTTGCATGACCTGGTCGGCCTGTGCTTCTGCACAACAGAAACCACACATCCGACGCACCTCCATGGCCAGGTTTCCTCCACCTCCATCCCACCAGGCCTTGGGGACCCTTCACTCCCCTTCACTCGGCCGCCCAGTCCGGTGGCGCGGGAACCTTCCAGACGGGCACGGGGACCGCGACCATCTACGGCAACCTCCAAATGTGCCGTGGCGTTCGATTCCACGCGGCGCGGAACCGCCCGGCTGCGGAAAAAACGTGGAGATGGCGACGGTGAAGAAACCCGAGATGGGCTCGCAAGAACTGCAGGAAAAGGGGACATCCTGAAATAGATTGAAATAGAATTATATCTTAACAATGTCCTGACTGCATTCATCCCCCCAATCAGAGATGTTCGCCAAACAACTCCGGTGTTGCGGCATTTTTGTCGAGGAGATCTTTACCAGGCCAGGTTCGACTCTGAATCAGTTGAGGTTCGGCATGCAACGAGATTTTCTCGCCAAGAGAAAGACACTTCTCCCTCTAGCTCTGCAACCTTAGGAACTTGTACGAACCACTTCTGCACCAGATCGGGTACGGTACAGTGTTTCCAGGCGCGATGGGTATCAGCGCTGACTGAATTTTTGGAACCTCCAGTGACCACTAATTCAGTTAACCTTGTTCTGGGGTCTTGGAAGCCGCTGGTGGACGGTTTTCTTTGCAGGTCAATTCAATTTCAGGGCGCCCGTTCCGCACTTTCAAGAATTTGCTCTCATCCGCATTTGGGCCGTGCCAAACTCCGCCCAAAACCGCGATCCTTTAAACGTCCGCGTGTGGCTCCCAGACCCTGGCCGCTTCGCTCGACGGTCTCCCGGCCGCGCCGTCTCGGTACCGAGATCGGGGAGCAAGACCTTCACCACGGGCACGGGCGCGGTGTCGCTGCAGGGCACCACCAACGTGGCCGCGTGGTGTGAAAGAGTTGGGTTGAGAGGGGGCTTCTTCGGGGGTGGGAAGAGAGGGGCGGGCGGTCGGACCTGGTGTGGTGGGGTCGGACCTGGTGTAGTGGGGTCTAGTGGCACAAGCGGATGATGGAGTTCAACCAGCAAGCGGCAGCTGCAGGCTGTAAATGTTTTGGTAGGTTGTGAGGGCTGTGCGAAACATTCTGCGTGGAACAATTTGTAACAAGGACTCACTGTGACCACTACTGCTCTCACAAAGCACGACGCCACCTGGACAGACCGGGAAGATACGAAGTCGTACGAAGTGGTCAACGTCAACAACTCCTAGTAAAAGGGCTACACCATTTGGATGCATTTGGGTAGGTGTCAAGACCGGGACAGGGCAATTGCCCAAACCATCCCAAATCTCGGTCTTTTCGTGGCAATCTTTTTTGTTTGCTTCCTCCGCGGCTCCGTAGCGCTTCGACCCTCAGCGAGACCCTTTGTGATAGCCCTTGCTACCGGCGTGAATTTGGGACCTCAGGGGAAGCTATACTTCTTTTCAGGTCACCGTTTGGGAACCACTATGAACCACTGGGGTTCACTAAGGTAGGGTATATTTACTTCAACCTGAGGCCGACGGTGTGGCCTTCTCGGTGGGATCCAACAACAATGGCGGCCTCGCGCAGTTGCCACTGGGACGGATCATGGGACGAACGGGTCGACCTCGGTGCTGGGGATTGGGGGGAGGAGGACGTCCACCCCTGGGAGGAGAGGCCAACGAATGGCGTTTTTTTCAGTGCGTCACAAGCTTCTTTTCGAGCCAACAATGCTGGAGAGGAATCTATGAATGCGTGTAAGTTGTGCAATTTTTTGTTGTCTTTCTATATAGTTCATTTTGCATCAACGCTCGGACCTTAAAGAAGCTGTTCTAAGTGTGTTTTTTAAACTTTATGCAGATCAAAGGTAGTGGTGATGACGTAGCCCATGGCGCCGAACACTGAATCCTGCGACTCCTCTTCCACCACTCTCCTGGAAAAAGGGAGAAACATGCCAATGGCGATCCCTGATTGTTTTTGTATTTTTTTTTACACGTGCTTTTGTTTTTTGGCACTTTGATTTTAGACATGGGACATGCTCCTTCCGGATTTGGAACTGTCGGATCATGTCGGATCCCGAAATCGACCAGCAATGTGGGCTGCCCTCCTCCTTCATCTCACGCAATTGGTCCGATCGCCGTGTTCCACCGTTGCACCGTCGCCCCTGCACGCACCGAGTTTCGGCCAAGTCATCATCGGTTCAGGCAGGTGTTGCGCTTGGGTACCGAGCGGGAGGGCGGTTGTGGATGGGGTCGATGGGCAGCTGGGAGGCCGAGTCGTCGCCGTGGGGAGGTGGTTCATTGGGTTTGGTGAGTGCCACATGTGGCCGTTTGGGTCTGGACACCCAGTGGCAGGGGGTGGTGGTTTCGGACATGTTTTGATTTTTTTCCATTTTTCCTTGATTGTACTTCTCAAGTGAGTTGAAGCCAGCAACCAGGTGCTCCAGTTCCATGACTGGACGAAGACTTCGACATGTTGCACTCACCTCGCCAGGCACTGCGAACGGTGCTTCCACGCAGCTGGATGCCGCTGGGCTGGGAAGGATGAGGGCCACGGACCGGCATCGGAACTCGGAGCGGCACCTTCAGCCTGGACGAGATCACCTTCCCTGGTAGTCCAAAGACGATCTTTTGGCATCTCCGGAATGTAGACTTTTGATCGCAGGACGCCCCCATATGAAAAGGATGTCCAACTCAAATGGGGGAGTTTATTGATCAAGAGTCTGCATTATATATAATATATAACTATCGTCAAGATAAGTCAAAGGAAGTTCCCCAGACTTGGATCACCATATAGGTCGGACCGTTGTTGAAATGCGGACTCCCAGCGCCGGCGCGACCTTCTTTTCCAGCGCCTGTTCAGAACTGCGCCGGCGCGGACTGTAGACCGCCACCTTCAAGCAGAAGGTGGTGGTCACTGATCCGGGTTGGCGCATCCTCCCAACCCTTCGGACGTGGAGGAGGACTCTGAGGAGGACCACTGGAGCCCGGGAGGTCGACTGCCTCCAACTTCGGAACCCTGACTCCGCTCAGCCCCCGACGCAGAACAAGGGCAGAAGTGCCCGAAAGAGCGGACAGAGCGGAGGTTGGTTTCCCCGCTACACCAAAGCTACAGGCCCCCCTGTCGCCCCCTTGTTGGGGGGTTCTCAGACCCCATTCAGGCCCTGGTGTTTTGTGATAAGAAGTGGAAACCACCTAGTTAGACCTATCAGGCCCCAACGCAGCCAAAAGATCGGTCCTTTTTCGTGGAACCCGTCGACGGAACCCCGGCGCGGGTCGAACGTCCAGCGTTCCGGCGGGGAACGCTCCACCGGTGGCGCTCGACCGCGCCCTGTGCAGTTGTACGGCGACTTTGTGGGGCACGATGACTTGGATGGCACCGCCAAAACGCTCCTGGGTTGGAACGGGTCCGCACCGATTTGACCCCAAAGGGCGGGGATTGGGAGATGTGTCGCGCCATCCGCGCTTTTGGATGATTCCAATGGATCCAGGCAGGTCCACGTTCGAGGGATCGGCTTTTTTTCATGGGAACGGACCTCGGAGTTTGTATGGGGCTTTGTATGGGGCCCAGGTTTGTTGGAGTTGGAGCTTTTTCCGGGAGAGTTGGGGGAAGAGGCTGGTGAGATCTCTTCACCTAGAACCTGATTGACCCCTGGGTTCTAGGCAGGTGGGAAGGACCAGTGTTTCAAGATGTTTCAAGCTTGAGATCTAAATCATGGTTGGCAACTCGCGGATTTCCACAGCATATAGTAGCAGGTGGTTGGGCAACCACGTTCCTTTTGGGGGGAGGTTTGGTAGAAGCCATGGCGCAACCATTTCCTGGCATCATAGCCTTGTCATAATTATGTATATAGGTGATATTGGAATCTGTTTATACCGTGTTTTCAGCCGTACATCGTGCCATTTTCTGTCTCAGCTCCTGGAAACCCACCGTGATCACTCTGCAGTCTGGAGGTTTTCATGTTCCATGGTTGTTTTGGGTCGCAAGGGCGGGTTTGCGGACTTTACGAGAGACACCTCAGCCCGGCCACTTGGCTCCAGCGTTTTGGTCGAACACCGCACCACTGGGCACCCAGGTGCGCCGCCCCCCAAACCCGCAAGGAAACGGCGCGGCGGTCCAGCACGCACCCCCGGACCCCAGGTTCGCCACGGCGACGGGGACCTCCACTTTCAATGGTGATGTGGCAGCTTGCAACGGTACCGGGTGGACGGAAGGGCCCGCTTTGGGGCGGAGCGGTTGGAAGCTGCACGGAGATGGAGCTGCGCGAGAGGGATGGGGCGCGTGAGGGGGCGTTTTGGCCTGGGTGGTGGATCCAGGCCAAGCACTTTGGTGACTGTAGCTGCTATAGATGTAGGGTATAGTCGGTCTCGTGTTAACATGTGGTAACTGGGGTCCACTGGGGTGGTGCAGGTGGCCACTTGAGAGTTTCAGAGTTGGCCTGAAAATTGGGTGATTGGAGTTCGACGTTCGGTTTTTCCAGGGAAGGGGCTAGCTCATGGACTGATGGATGATGGATGAAGGATAGGATAGGATAGGATAGGCATCCTAGAGAGCTTGAACAGGCCATCCTAGCCTATCCCATGTGTACCACTGACCAGGGTTCAGGTCTCTCAACCTCTCTGCGCCGCATCTCGGTGGGTCATGGGGTGGGTCAACGCTGTAAGTCACCGGTCCGACTTGACGTCTGGATTCGTGGGAGTCATTGGCCTCACCCGGCCGTTCGACTCACCCGGCCGTGGGCCGTTTGGGGACGTTCGACTCACCCAGCGACGTGAAGGTGGGGCGCCTAGGGCCCGGTGGGGTGTCCGCGAGGAAGTGGGGACGAGTCTGATGTGACGGACCGCGGTTGGACGGTTGGACTGAAGGGACTGGCCAATTCTAACCTCGGACGCACGTATCGGAAGCGGTGCACTGGAATATATGAATATATGATGTGAACGATGAATTGTCCAAACTCATGTGGCTGGTTCATCCTGTAAAGCTACGTAGTTAGACAGGGTGCACATATGTGCAGATGCTGCCAGTGACGAGCTGAAGCACCTAGGACCTAGCAACAGGATCGGTTCAAGGGGATTTTTCGACTAAGGCTTTCGACGAGGCACGCCCCCAAAACAAGCCTGGCCAGAGGCCAGATCATAATGATCATAGACTCAGGTTGCAGGACAACACAGGAAATCCACAACTCGCAATGGCAATCACAAGTCGCAAAGTGTACTGGATCATGCTGGTACATGGTACACACTGGGGTACCTTTTTGTCCTGCCGCCCATGAAAACCGGGTCGGTGGTTTTTGCGGGCGCTGATCGGCCGAGGCCATTGCCTTCAACAAGGATCTGACCATGAGCAATACTGGCAACGCGGGTTTGCACATGGCAGGTCTTTTTTGGTTTTGTGTGATGTGTGTTTCGTGCGCCCGCCCTGGGGTGAACTCGTGTGGTTTTGGGTGGTTTGGGGTATCCGAACCTGGATAGTGTGGAGGGATGCCTAGGGCCTAGGATACTGTGTGAGGAATCAGGGTCACACTTGCTTTTCCGGGGTTCGGTACTCCAAATCGACATGGTTCCTGGTTGTTGTCGTGTGTTCGGGGTCAGATGGCCACTGTCGTCGTGTTCGGCGCTGTAGATGACGCTATACTTGACCAGATCTTAACAGTCTCTTGGCATGGGTGAAAGTGAAGAGTATAGGCCCTTTCTCCTCGCCTTTTCTGCAACTTGCAGGGCGGATATGAGCTCCCAAAGGAGTGGAGGTGCATGGGTCCAGAGCAACATTCTGGTGCTGATGTGGCTGAGACTTCTGTGAAGGGTCGTGTTCGTCGTGTTGACGTTCAAGTTCGCCACGACGTGGGAGCTGGCACTAAGGCACTGGCACCTTCACCACCGGCACGGGTGCCATCGCCCTGAACGGCGACGTGACCATTGCCGCGGGCAAGACCTTGACAGTGACCGACTACACCAACGTGACTGGGCGCAGAGCTTTTGGCTTCGCGCGCACACGATGTGCTTGCGGCAGAGCACCAGTGGTTCCGGCAGCTCCCAAGTCCATCCATGGCACACCCTTCACAGGAACAAGGGATGGCTCTTGAGAAAGTAAAAGCGATCCTTCGATGCATCTAAGAGCGATCCTTCGATCGTCTGAACCACGCACCGAAGAAGCTCCACACCTCGGTCGGAACCGACGTTCGTGCCGGTGCCCGTGCCGTCGCGGCGTCGGAACCGGCTGAGGCCATCCAGTGCAACCTCGCCTCCACCGCGCCGGGCGACACGTTCTGCAAGGCATCGCGGTGAGGCAGCGGGTCCGGACGCCGGCAGCTTCCGCCCTGGGCGGGCAGCGGAAGCGGGGAAGTGGTGGGATGTCCAAGCATCAGTGCGCTTCTTCCAAGTGGGGTCAAGAATATTGCGGTGTACTGTATGGCACCAACACCACGGAGTTTGGGTGGTTCATATAGTGCCTCCTACGGGCTACACCCAGCTGCTACGCGATCAATCTTTTCGCGTGCCAGAAAGAAAGACTCCCGCTCACTACCACGGAAGTGGACGATTTTTGGCTTATGAACGCGGGGGCTTTCACTTCGATAGTCAGAGGTGCCCCGGAGCAGACCTCCTCCCATTCACGTCCATTCCGCCACCGGAACCCAGCTGGTCCGATCCAGTGTGGGAGGGATGATTTTCCAGTGCCCTCCTGCAAAGACTGGAAGTTTTTGAAGAGAACTTGTGGAGGGGTGGGGGGCGATCGATTTCTGCTTCGCCCCTCCCCTCCCGCTTTGCTCCCCGTGCCGTGCGCGTGAAGCTCAAGAGAAATGCAGGCGAACCTGCCGCCTGCGTCGCTGACTTTCCCAAGTCTCATCAGCTTCTCAAGAAACAGTTCATTGAAAAGCGGACGATCCCAGCAAAAAGGCCCACATGAAATCTGAAAAGGAGTCAGTGCAGATTTCTAAGTAATTATGGTTTTTTAGCTTTTAGTTGTGTAGTATTGTGTGGAGGCAAAAGCACCCAATACCGGGAGCTTGAGTTATTTTCCCCAAAAGAGTGATTCATTGAGGATATATATACATATTTTTGACTAACAGTGCCGCAATCAGGATAAACTCAGCTTGGTGAAGCCCGTGCTTTTGTAGTGGTCGTTGGATGCTGTTGGGACCTAAGCACTTGCCCACACACTAGCATTCGCAGTATAGCTGACGCTTCAGGTCAGCCCTTTATCTCGGATGCCAACGCAACAAATACGTTTTGTGCATGGAAAGTCAATCAAAAACTACCGTAGAATCGTACAGTACGTTAGCCGCCTACAATTCAAGGCAAAACATTCAGTATGCCATTATGGGCGATGGTTTATCTCACCAACATTCAGCAGCTCAGATGAGGGATTGAATATATGAAAATCAATGAACATCATTATATAATATATAGTAGATGACCGTAGTAGCCTTCTCTCTTGTGGTTCACCACGCCACTGTATTTGCAGAGTATGCCAATTTGATCACCGAAAACACTGTGTTTACGATCTGGAAAAAGCAACCAGCAAGGACTTGAGGCTTTTATGTGGCTGTCGCTTCAACAATTTTACTGTTCAACATGCATGTGTAATGTGGATGTTTGTGTGGGAAGTTGCCAAGACTTGCCAGTGATGATGATGTTGACGATGACGATGATGATGATGATGATGATGATGATGATGAATACCTCCCCAACTCGCAGCGCTTTCTCGGAGCGGTGATGACTCAACCCCAGGTGTTCGAAACATAATCCGAGGATTTATTCTAGCACCACAAGCGGCAGCTGGAAGTACTGCGACGTGGTGCAGGTGATTTTGCTCGTCCAACACGTTACCCCAGAAAACATGAAGACATCTCCACTCAGCCACGCATAGAACTCTCAGCTCTGGGCTTCGTCCATGGGCGAAGTACCATCTTCTCTGAGCTTGCACCGCCGCACGCACGGGCTCGTGCGCCCGGGATTCCTCCCTGTGGCGCCATGCCGGGCCTCGGCGTTTCACCCTCGGTTCCTCCATTCCCCCCGAATGGCGCGGAGGGGATCAGGTGATGACTCCTTGCAAGACTCTTGGGTATGTGGAGTTCTGTGGAGTTCGAATATTCCGCCGTTGAGAGGCTTGATTGTTGGTGCCCCATGGCAAGACTCTTGGGCTCTTAGAGCTGAGCGACGTGGCGCAGTTCCGCCGCTGGTTCACCAAGTTCACGCCGCTTGGTTTGAAGGACACCGTCACACCTGCGTGGCAGAAGGAGGAGCCCTGTTTACAAAGCGTTGCATGAGAGTTTGCCGGTTCCACCCAAAACTCTCGCGTGGCAGGGAGTAGCTGCGGCGGCAGCTTCTTGAATGACTCCAAAGTGCCAACCCTGCCGGGGTTGAATCACTTCAGTCAGTGGAAGCCGCGGATGTGAGGTGTTGAAGTAAGAGGGTCTCATCTTGATGCCCTGATCTGCAAGAGGGGCTTGGGTGATGAAACCAATGAGAATCCTGAGAGGTTGGTCGGGGTCTTTGATGGTGTCTTTCATCACTGATCACTGGTGTGAACTTCTTCACCCAAATGATCCTTGAAGGAATGCATGGGGGGCAACCCCAGCAAAACCGGAAACGAACCAGAAAGCCATCCATGACAATAATTGAACACTTCGAGGCAAATTTGAACCAGCCATCCATCAAGCAGTGGAACTTTCAAGCCTCCAAAGTCGTTGAGATGTGTGACTTTAGCCATGGCCAAAACTTGAGACATGCAAGTTTCTCTCTTTTGTTTTATAAATCGTGAAGTCAGAAGAACTGGGCGGGACATCCAGATCACATGGTTGTCGGGCTACACCCGCACCTGCCATATGGCTGTGGCTCAACGAATGACCCGAAAGCTCGCTGCGGGTTAACCAATATCAACAGTTAGCATTTCATTCTTGAGTCACAGCTATAATCAATATGCTATATATATACGGTATACTGTATGTAGCCTCTTGGAAGAGAACCCCTTGGGTTTCTTACAGCTGTGGGGTGTTGCCACGAGACCCTGCTTAGCTCGGCGGCTCAGGGCACGAAACGCGTACGCACCAGCATCCGGTGGTTCTGTGGCTCAAGGAGGTGCCGGTTTGTAGGGCCAACAGAGGTTGAAGAACCCGAACTAGGCTATCCCAGTTCGGTACCCTGATAGGGTCAGTAGTAGGGGCATGCTACAGCACCACAGCATTCCGCTGTGATCCTGCCCCCTGGTAGGGTCCTATTTACGGTCACTTAACCTCTGTTGGGGAGGAGGTGTTTTATTTTTTTTTCGGTGTTTGTGGCTTACGATTTTTGCAGCAGCGAATCATTTCTCGGAGAACACCCATGTCGGCAGGCAATAGGCTCAATAGGAGTCAGATACTTCAGGTTCTATGGACCAAGAACCCAACTGATGCGTTCTCTGGTGAGACTACAGTCTTGCCATCTATGACCCGCATCGGGATCTCTCCAGGAATTGGGATCGGGGGACTCGTGGGGTCTCGCCCCCGCCCTGAGGTCATAGTCACGTACCCAGCCACCAGTTCCAAAGCGAAGGATGTTTGGATACTTCTGGCATCGCTGGGCGAGAAACATTACATTACATGACCGACTGCTTTTGGGTTTGGGGTCCACCCATGGTCAACCCCACGTTTCTGCCAACGCTCAGCTTGCCCCGTTTCTGCCAACGCAAAACCACTACCCGTCGCCCCGCCCATGGAGACGAAGTCTCGCTAGAGATCCATGAGCGAGCTTGGGCGTCCAGGACGCCCTGGGGTCCAGAAGGTGAAAGACCCCCAGACTGGCAGATGCCGGGCATCTCGGCGTCTCAGGTGACGTGACTTGATGGAAGGAACGGGGAAAGATGCAGAGATCGAAGCTGATGGAAGGGACACCTCAACAGCCTCAACACGAGGAAGTTCAAAAACTGCTGTCAGTGTTGGAAGAAGCCACCCGAGTTGTGGTCTCACAAGAAAAGTGGTGAGGTGGAAGTGGAGGCTTTGAAGTCCAGAACTCATACCTCCCCGCCATCCATGGAGTTTGAGGGTGTGAGGAGTGGATCGGACTCTAAAGGCTGCACAGGTGGGTAACATGCAGGTTTTGGCTGGAACATGGCTATACTCTAGAGATGTTGAGAGGTACAAATAGGCCCAGAGCCCAAGAAGCAAGCTCAAGCAATCAGTTCACCGACGTCAAGGGTCACGAGTGATCCAGCGCCTGGCCAAAAGCCACCCTCTGTCCAAAGCCTTCTACACTCATGTTGGTGGGAGTGTGCTGGTGTTTTGATTGGCCCGACGTGGAACAGCGAAGTGGAACCTTGGAACCTTCTTCTCGTGCCTTTAGGATGACGCTCCCAAAAAACCCCGCCGCTGCCCACCGGGCCCGGGAAATTCCCCTTTGGATCCCGGGCTTGCCTCGGCTCCCGGACGCCCCAGTGTCATGGCTCCGACCGTGCCACCTCCAGCAGGATGAAGAGCCTCCCCAGCTCCAGCTCCGTCAACAAGATCGCAGGCGGGGTGGCGTCGGTCACGTTTCATCAGGTCGGCGCGTCGGCGCGGTTCTTCACCGCTTCGGGAGCGGAAAGGGAGAACCCACCTGGTGGCTGGTCGTTGGGTGCTCAGAATACTTCGAAACGTGGCGGATGGCCGCGCCTCATTCCTTTGGGGCTTAGCCTTACACCGAGCTCCATGTTCCCGGACCTGATTCCACCTCGTAAAAGCCATCCAACGCCTCATATGGAGGTTGACATGGTCTTATCAGCGTATTTGGTCCTGGCACGGGGCCGATGCCAAGCCCCAAGCCCCATGGTCAAGGAACATCTGGCATCCAACCGCTGGCATCCCAAAACACCGGATGCTGCACATCGTTCGACCGTCGCCGGATGCGAACTCGTCCGGAACTGGTTTCCGGCGGATCTGCGGGAACAACCGGAGGCGCCGAGGAACGGCTTCTGAAGCTCATCCGGAGCCACCCCGCCTGTGTCTTGGCCTTGCGCCTGGATGTCACCATGCGCATCTCCGACGAGGCGACCCGTGGGTGGCGCGTGGCGATGGGCTTCGTTCGGAGCACGACGTCGTCGTCTTCTTCGCGTGGACCGCATGGAGCCGCGCTTTCCTCGCAGGAAATCATGAGCGCCCTGGCGAAGTCGGCGGATAGTCTCGCGCCTTGGGATGACATGGTCGGGGCATGGTGGGGGTGGTGGTCCACCGCGGTGTGGGCGAGGCATGTTGGGAGGGGTTTTATTTCGGTGAAGTTCTTTCAAATGTCTGATTCCTTAGATAAAGCACTAATTAATACTAATTAATTAACGCAGAGTACTTTCAACAATTTTTGAACATTCCCAGCAAGTCCAAAGGACGGGTTAAACTGGTGCGTTAGCGTAAAGGATGCATTCCACCTCCCAACTTCCAAGTCCTAATTTTCACAGGTTTTTAACGGCCTTTCACCCTGTTTTCACGGGCTTTTCACGTTTTTTTTTTTAAATGTCCTTTTCATGGGTTTTTCACAGCCTTTTCAAGCTTCCAGCTCCCGTTTTACTAAAGCACCGGTTAAAATGGTGCGTTACTAAAGAATTGGTTAAACTGGTGCGTTGACCTGCTGGGATTGGTAGTAGTATGTGTTGGGTTTGCCGAAGAAGAAAACCTTCCAGTCATTGACAACTAAGAACTCTTATTATAGCTTTCAACTATCCGGGAAATAGTTTGAGAGGAATATATATAGTTAGGCTTCCCTCGCGCACCTACCTCGAGTAGACACTATAGAGACCCCGTTGGGTGGGCGCTCCGCGCTAAGGACATCGAATTTCGAGAAAGGATGGTGCCGGAAGACATGATCGAAGAGATCTTGGATTTGCCAGGACCCCTTGGAGTTCGAATCCTGCAGCCTGCAGCGGATATATGATATATACGTTCTCCCCGGTCCTTTTTTTTGAGATAGTTGTTCATTGGTTTTGGTGCGCTGGATTTCGGTGCGCTGGCCCCCACCCCATGCGCTCGCACTGTCAGACTTGGCAAAACAAGGGTTGAACCGTTGAACCGCCAGAGACGAACAAGGGCCCAACGCTGTTCTGTTGGGAAAAGCTTGTGGAAAAGAATCAGCGGCTAGAACTTGTGTTCACAAAGCAGATGGGCAAACCGACAAGGGCCCAACACGACTTCAGCCTTTTGGAGCCCCCTTGTGTCTCACGGTGGCACTGGCACTGACAGATGCCAAGAGCCCTGTTCTGTTGACAGACTCAACCAATTCCGTCGGTTTACCTGGACTTGGTCACTCTGAGCTGAGCTAAAGGTTTCGGTCTGACCTTCTTCAAACGGGTGGTCAGTTGAAGCGTTGATCGCTGGACTTGATGATTTCCTAGCGGTGGACGAGGAGTTTCCTGGCGCGAGGTGGAAGGGAGCTTGACCCAGAGTCGGCTTCACACGTTTCATTTGTTTCCATTTGTTTCCTCAGGTGTCCTCTCCCAGGGCCCCCTAAGGGGTGTCCAATTTATAAATTATAGCTCCTTGGAGGTTGAGGGGTATCCATTAACCACCCCTATCCGGGGGCCCTGGTCTGGAATGATCTCTAATTCCCAGCAGCCGTGCCTCGGCCGTGCCTCGTCACACGGCACCGCGCCGGCTTAGGCGCGCACGGGCCCGTGCTGAAGAGGCGAAGATGCTGGGGACACCCAGATCGTGGCGAAAGACGCGGGTGAGAAGGTGAGAAGCAACCCTGGGTGCTTCACCCAGCAGCCAGGAGTGGACCTCATTAGCAGTCAAAGATGATCAGATGTTCTTTGGGTGATGCCGCCTAGCAAAAGTTTGCTAACCATCGACGTGGCTGGGGATGGAAGAGTTTTGCGGCAAAGCATGTTGTTAACACCCAAGTCAGACTCGAATGACAAGGCACATTCCCCTCAAACAGGGGCCAACCACCTTTGGGACGAATACTCAGAGAACCTTCTTTGGGGATGATTCATGCATTGTGAGATGCTTGTGAGGCATCCTCGAGGTGTGCTGTAGGAGCCTAAAGCCAAGCAAAACACATGTCAGCACGTCCTCCTGAAAGCCTGTCCCATACTGTCCCATACTGTCATCCATTTTCCAGCATTTAGATGCATTGTCTGGTTATTTTTTGTACCTACGGCAATCAGGAAAAATCTCAAAGGTCAAACGGTTTGGCACTCGGACTCCTTGAGACTTTGCCGCCGCCACCGAGGTCTCAGATTCGACGCCACAACGTGTGGATCGTCCTCATGCGGCTGCCGCTCTGTGCCGCGGCGGGTGCAGAAAGGGTGAACTCACATGGCATCTGTCAGTACCGAACGAGTCTCCGAGTGACCCCTATTTTGGACTGCCCACCACCCCAAATGATCTAATCTAATGGTCTTTCTCCTCCTCAAATGTCAAAGAGGGCTCATGTCGGAGTTCTACGACCCACGCGCCCCGCGACCTGTGGTTTGGGGTGCGCCTGCCCTCCGCAAAGGAGCAAGGCTTCATGGCATTCCAATGATTTTAGAGGAGACCTCAGACAGGTAAGACATGGTAAGAGAGGTTCCTCTTGAGCGGGGATGGGAATCCGGACCCTTACCCGATGTTGAATGATGACTCGCTGCCGCCCATTAGGACATGATGTGGGCCACTCTGCGCCTCGCTCCCCATCTCCATCTCATCCGTGAGCTCCAGGAAAACGTAGCCAAAGACATGGGCAGACATCATCAGACACTGACACGGTGTGAGTCCTTACAGGGCTCCTGGCTCCTGTCCCATCTATTCCAGGTTGGGACTGAGCCCCCAGAGGCCACCTCAGGCACTGGACTCCTTAGCAGCGTTTTGACTCCAAGCTCTTTGGCTTGACACTTGGACATGGCCATGGCCATGGTTCGTTCCAAAGAAGATCCGCCCCAAGCAGGTCACGGGTCCGCCATCCGCCGGTCGCGGGCTCCGCGGAGCCTGAGCTCCGCTCCGAATTGAGGTGCCTCAGTGGTCTTGGCTGCTTGGATTTGGGTGAGACGAGTTTGGGTTGGGATGGTGTGCGCCCCATTCACTTTGCTAAAATAGCGGAAAGAACGGCCAGGGTGAGAGACTAGGCGGAGCCAACTCCGAATCCGAGGCGCAGTTGGTAGAGAACGGCCAGGGTTGCTTGCTGGTGGCGCATTTGACAAGTGAAACTGGTGGTTGATGGTTTGGTGGATTTTGGAGGTGTTTTTCATTTTTTTGAGCCCGATCATGCCGTGCCAGGTGACCGGTGTCCAGTACTTTCACGTGGGACCTTCACCAACCAGAAGGGTTCAGGTCCAGTGGCTTGCTCCCAGCCTGGAATCATGATAAGTGCTTCAGCCAAGAGGGCCATCCTTGTGGAACAGGTAGTAGGTTGAGTGAGTTATTTTGCATGATTTTTCAGTTGATCATCATCAACAACAAAGCAGCTATATACTATAGGTGATGGCTTCGGATAGCTTTATGTTCAACCCTTGTATACTTGGAGATGATTGGACTCTCTGACTACTATAGTTTTTGTTCCCCTCTTGCAGCCCCAGCAAGTCTGGATGGGTGGCTGGGTGCCAGGCGCCATGTCCACAAAGCAACCAGTGGAGAAAAACCTTCTCTTTTCGAACATGTCCCTAAGGAAGCAGGACATGGAGCGTCGCAATTTTGGGAAACATTCCTCTAAGTGACGTTGGCCCCATTGCGGGGAAGCTGAGTAATCAAGAAACGCCTGGAACGAAGCAACAGCAGTGTGCTCAAAAATGCAGCGAACGAAAAGAACCGGAGGTTCTACAGTTTGCGCGTTTCGTCCCCGAAGAGATTTCGATCAAAGCCACACCCGCGTCAGCGGGAACAACGATGATCCAAAGGCCTTCAAGTAAATAGTTAACATCCAGATCTGAGCGAAAATGTCAGCTGGCTTAGCCAACTCATTTCCCCTTAAATTCCTAGCGCCATAGCTTCCGAAAGTTTAAGCCAAAACATGCCACCAACTTGTGAGGACTTTATTGCTCCATTTCGAGTTAAAGTAGACTCTTGATCAATAGGCCCCCGCTAGGGGGAGGTTTTGCAATCCAGTTGGGTGGGTTTATCAATCAAGAGTCTACATTACACAGATCCACTGCCGAAGCTTGTCAAGATAGATGGGATCAAGAGATTAACCAGTGGCAAAGCCAGCTCAACACACAAAGATGGTCGGGCTTTGCTGCAGCCCCAAGTGTTTTTGAACACCAGAGCTATCCTCATAGAGGATTGTCAGGCCGCAGAAGCTTCATGCAGAAACCCATTTGCGTGTGTTCTTGAATCAGGAGACCCCCTGGCCCTGGCTGGGTAGACTGATCTATTTCCCTTCTTCCAGGCGGTCGTTGTTCGGCACGTCCTCCGTTCGCGAAGCTGCACCACCCAACGAACGGAGACGATGCCACGATGCCGATCAGGGTTTCCGGATGACAACGAACGGGGTCCAATCCATTCCCGGCATCGAAAAATCCATCCTTCGATGTGTGCTACCATGTCCACCATATATACCCCAGACGCCCCATGTATGGCATATTTGCATACATTGGGGTGGTTTTGGGGGTCCATGGAGGCATATATGGCATACATGGAGCGTTTGGGTACTATGATATGCTCAAAGCATGGGTTCGTGCTCTGAAATCATATAGAACGAATCACATCCTTCCCAGGTCTTCACCTCCTTCGTGATGTGGCTGACGAGCTTCGAGTACATCCGTGGGCTGTGTGCCCTCTATGAGTTTGCCAATGCCACCTGTAACCAAGAGCCGCTCGATCCGGAGATCGATAGGGGGTTAACAAGTCAATGGCATGAGGAGGGGCCCTATGATATGCCATCCACTTGTGGTTTAGGCCCTTAGGCATGCCATTTGCAGAATCTATATAATAAGGAGATCTAAAGAGATCTTCGACCTAAAGGGGGCTCAGAGGTATGCTATGGGCCGGCTACAGTAGGCACTATGGGTGAGGTGATTTTTTGGAGTCTCCCTGCTTGAAATACACAGATGGAACTGGTGGCAGCTCATATCTGCCTTCCAGGTGAATCAAGAGTAAAACATGCACCCATGCGTGATCAGCCGTGGTTTCATGTGGTTTCCTTTTTTGGGGGAGTGGCCTGGCCAACTAAATAGGCCTTTTAACGCAGATGCTGACCTGGCCTGTTGGGTTTGCTGAATTTGACGTCATGCGCTGGGCCACCATGGGGCTTTTTAAAAGAGAACCCCGATCAATCGATCATACTCCTTGTGCCGATGTGCTTTCCCATGGATCTTCCTATTATATATTAATTAGGACATCTGAAGAACTTGATGGAGCTGAGATTCCTTCAGCAACTCGCCCATCAAACCTCAACGTACGCACCGCACCAAAATCACCACGGCAACTCAGCGTAGCCCACTCCTCAGGAATACGTGTCTCTTCCGCGTGGCGGTGCAGGTGCCAGGTGCCGAACCGGGTGGGCGCCGGCTCGGCCCTTCGGTTTGACCGGACCGGGCGGCGGTTCGCGGTGGGTGTGGTGTGCGAACGGCACAGGTGTTGGATCGTTGAGCTGTGCGAACGGCGCATGGCAGGTCTTATGGCACGGCTGCTGGCGCATGGAGGTTTCGTGTGGTCAGACGCAGCATTCAAGTTCAGATTCAATACTCATACATCGTACTACAGTATTCAGACCATGCATCACATACGGTGTACGTCGAAGATGCACCAACGAAGCCGCGACCTTGCATGTTCCGTTTCCAACCTTCCGTTTCCCTGTGCTCTCGGTCGACGCCGGATGCGCCAGGTGAAGTGTTTGCGATCTTTCATCCGGCTTGGAAGCCACCGGCCGAGGACGGGATGGACATCGGATGTGGGCGAACGTACACAGGGTGAAAGAAAGATCTGAAGCTGTTGGAGATGGCTTGGGTTTCTCCCGCTGGCTGGGGGACGTAAATCAATTTAGGTAAGTAAGAGCCGCCGGAGAGCAGGGGAGAGCCGCGTGAGACGGTCATAATCCTAGTGCTGGGAGGTAGGTGGGCCAGTTGAGAACGCTTTCCAGACACTCCATTTCTATGATATGTATATATATATATATTATAGAAATGTGTGGAAGATTTTTCTACATGACCTGTGAAACCACCCAACTGTTTGTATTTTTAAATGGTATGCCATCGTATGCCATATGTAGACTATATAGACCCCCAAGTAGATAGAAATGTAGGTCCCCTACTACAATGCATTGGAAGCCGTTTCTATCCGTTTTGGAGAACGTGTTTGGGCTTGGGTATGCCGTCGCTCGCGGCGAGGCCCCCCAAAAACCGAGACCTCCGACGTGCGGTTCGGGCATTTGCCAAGCCGGAACTCGCCCATGCGCCGTGCGGGCTCACATTCGTGCTCACATGATCAAGATGACTCGGTTTCCATTTCACCTGGGCCACCCGCCAGCGGTGTTTCACCCTTTTCCCCCTGATCACGGTTTCAGGGTTCGGTGGACGGACACTGGGACAGGCGGATGGGAGCTAGGGCAGAACCTACTGCGGGGTCACGGTCTAAGAAGGACTGCAGCATTTGGGGGGGTAAAAGTTGCTTGAGAAGAGGTGGCACCTACTGTGAGGTAGCCTCATAACAAACAGTTTTCGCGGAGACGAACAACATCGCAAATTGCCTGCCCAATGGCAGCTGCTGTTTTCCGCTTCTTCTGAGATGACTGCGCCCATGAGTGTGTAAGATGCAGTAAGCACCACCTTTTTGCAACGTTGGGTTGAGCTAGCTATTTTGCAAGCTGCAAGCGCTCTTGTCGGAAGCTCTTGGCTAAGGAGCCCCTTGGGGTTTGTGATGGCTTAATATTGTTTATGTCACCTTGATCACTTGGGTCCCACGGGTTGTGGGATGCAGAGAAGGAGGCCAAAACAGAGAGACAGACACGCCAAATCATGACCCGGGCAGCTCTGTGAGACAGTGTGTCCGCCAAGAAAGAGAGAGAGAGAGAGAGAGAGAGAGAGAGAAAGAAGAGCCAAAATAAACAAAGAAAGACATAAGAGCGAACGCAAGATAAAGAAAGAACGAACTATAACTAACAAAGAAACAAAGAAGGAAGGAAGGAAGGAAGGAAGGAAAGAAAGAAAGAAAGAAAGAAAGAAAGAAAGAAAGAACGCAATTTCAGAACAAAAGAAGAGCGAACAAAAGAATGAAAGAAAGCAAGGAAGCCAGAAAGAGAGAAAGGAAAGCAGGAAGAAAGAAAGAACGACAGAATGAAAGAAGGACAGGCAGACAGACAGAAAGGACGAAAAAAGGAAACACGCACCAAGGGATTTGCAAAGCTGTTTGCCAACGGCATAGGGTCACATCAAAGATGACCGGGCTTGCCTGTTCAGCAAAGAGTTGTTTTGGTACATGTCCCTTTTCCTCATTTTGTGGATGCTTGAAATGTGATTTCGACGTGGGTGACTTTTTGGTCTTACATGGCGGCTCATGCCCAAAGAATAAGGAGTACCGAACACTCGACACTGAGGCTCATTTGCAGAGGTGTTTAACCCGTCCCCTCGTCGCGGTCGTGGTTTCCACTGGACTGGGCGAGAGGGGCAGGCCAATTTTTGTTTGAGAATTTGACCAGAGGCGAGGTGACAACTACCAATGGAAGGGGATTTTTTGGGGGCTTCAAGCTTGCCAAACTAGACCCGCTGATCACTGCTGCCGGCTTTTGCTTCTATTGAGACAACTGCACGGAGAGTCTGTGCTTTTGGTTTGAGCCAGCTTTTTGAGCAAGCGCTCTTGCTGGAAACTCTTGGCTAAGGAACCGTTTGCTGCAACACAACCGTTTGGGGCTTGTGTTTGCTCCATCTTCTGGGTCACAATAGTGGGGTGGTCAGTCGCAGGGAGGAGGGAAACAACAGAGAGATCGACAGATGGGATAGACACATGAAGGGATTTGCAAAGCCGTTCGCCCATGGTAGTGCAAGCCTATCACGGGCTTGTTGGGGGATAGTAGTGACGCTTTCCATTAGTTGGTGGACATTTGTTGACGTTTCGGGCCGTTTTGCGGCTGATGCGAAACCTCGCGGACCAGCGTTCGTGTGCGATTTGTGGACCTGCGGATCTACAGGGCACCTTTTGGTCTTACATGGTGGTGGGTTGATGGCCAGAACACAGCACCGTTTCAGCACGGGCGCTTTGGGAACCATCGCCTGCCATAGCTTTCCCCAATACACTGCCAACACACCCTGGATAGTTTGGGTAGACCGAGGCCCCCTGAGCAACCAAAGATGGACCAGTCTTGTTCGTAGCATGGGCCACCTTGGGTCCTGCATGGGGCTTTGACCTGTCGTCCCTGATCAAGGCGCTGGGACCAGACACTTGTCAAAGGAGTTGGGTAGAATTCGCGCTGCCCATATCCACCCCCGATCAACCAGCATGAACGCCACTGCTGCTCCATATGGGTCCCCTTCTCCGTGAACGGTTGTATGCCAGTCACATGCCACATATAGAACCCAACTTGAACTGCGCTGATGCCGCGTTATGCACTTGCCTCTGCCTATGCCCGCCGCTCACTAGGAAGCCTGGGGTGAAGCGCTCTTTTCTGAGACAGGACCATTCAAATGCTCCTCAGCCAAGCTTTGCGCACCCATTTCTCGTTGGTCGGTGCACTCTGCCGAGAGCGACCAATCGACGCTGCAGGTTTGCAGGGGAACATCTTCTAGATGTAGGTTTTGACGACATAGGTTTTCGATATGTTCACAACATTTCACATGTCAGATTGAAGGATCAACCGGAGTCAGCCTTCAACTCGATAGTGCAAGGCAAGCGTGAACGTCGCCACATGTACCCAAAACTTGTTGGGTGAGCACTCGTATGTGGTTGCGGTCCGCTGCTGTTGATGACAACCGCGCTTGTTCCTGTTGATGGTTCCATACATTATGGGCCAAGGTTTTATTTGTCTATGTGTTTTGTGTTTGGAAACCACTGGTGTCAGTGGCAGCATTAACACTGGGAAATGAGACCCACTGGGGTCCAAGTATGCCGAGTGAAAGAGAAAGACAGAGAGAGAGAGAGAGAGATGGAGAGCGTGAGAGAGAGAGAGAGAGAGAGAGTGAGAGAGAGAGAGAGAGACAGACAGACCAGGCCAGGCCAGGCCAGACCAGACCAGACCAGACCAGGCAGATCTGGTTTGCTGGTTTGCTGATCTTCTGCTGCTGCTTGCTGCTGCCTGCTGGTCTGCTGCTAGTCTTCTGCTGCGGGTTTGGCTGGCTTGTTGTTGTCCTGCCGGTGTGCTAGTGCTGCTGGTCTGCCGGTGCTCCTGCTGATCTTCTGCTGGTTGGCTGGCTTGCTGTTCGGCTGCTGCTGCTCCTGCTCCTGCTCCTGCTCCTAGGCTGCTGCTGCTACCCACACGTCCCCGCTTACCAGCCTTTCGTCCACCCGCGTTCTCTCAAGTTGTTTGTCAAGTTTGTCCCGTTTGATGAACACAGGAGCAGAGAACATAGGCAAGTAAGTATATGCTATATATACATATATATATATGTAGATGCCCAGCTTTAAAGCCAAAAAACCGGACAAACAAACAGAAGGATTTCCAGCGACGTCGCTGCAAGTCCAGCGCTCTGAGGTTGCAACACTCCAGCCTTCTGGTCTTATGGCCTCTCTCGGCCTACCGTGGGTGCTGGAAGTCCTTGCTGTGACTTCTTCGATGATCCTTGGTGGGGGAGTCCCTGCGGGCGCGAGAGATTTTTCAACCGCACATGTGGATGTGGGCACCAGTGACTTCCAAACAACGGCAACGTACCCACAGAGGAGGTTGCACGATGGTTTGTTGCCATTTGTGGTTGTCAAGTTGCTTTCGGAAAGTGGAGGTCCAAGTGAACCATTGCATCATTCACATCGATTTTCACACACATTTCACGTGAGACCACCTCGATCACACCACATGGAACACAAGCCGGCCTGACCACGGTCCTACCGGTCGCTTCCCTGTTTTGGGTAGGGCTGAGCTGGGTTTTCATGCGTGCATCACTGCGATACACCTGTTCTTGGGATTGGATCCAAGGCACCTGCTGCACCCCAAAAAGCAACACGCCAATGTAGGATAAAACATTGATGACAAATTGATGATCATTGATGTATAACTTTTCTGCCATGATAGAGTGTCTGAGGGATGTATCAAACGGCCTCAAAGGCCTCCTTTGAGGGCCTTCTACTGGGAACGTCGCGGTCATTGTGCTGTGCAATCCGGCCACTCACATCGTGAAAGTCGCTCTCAGCAACTCCGAAGTCGCTCTCAGCAACTTACAAGGACAGGAACAACCCCCCACCAGCCCCAGCCGACTACTCTTCTTCTACTGCTCAGTCCAACACCACTTACCACATCGAGATCGGAGATGGTATTCATCTCTAGACGATGGAAGACTGGAGGAAGACCACATGTTCTTCTATTTTTGGGAGGAGGGGTTGTTCATTGAACTGGGGGAGCTGAAACATCTCTAATGGACGCCATGGCCCCAAAGCATCAGCAGCAAGGGCTAGCGGCTATCAAAATGCAAAATTAGACACGAGCAAGAGCAAGCTTCGGCTTTTATGGTTTGGGGTGCCCCCCAAACTCGAGTAAGTTCTCATAGTGTGCAAGTGAACACGTGGACAAAGGAGCTTGAACCGAGGTAGTTGGCCCCACCGGGCCGCCATAGGCATCCATATAGGCATCCATCCGATGTTTTTATGGCCAGAGCTGTGTTTGGTGGAGATGGCAGATCCAGCTTGGTTGCATCAGATGCGGCATTCACTGCAATTGCTTATCCACAACAGACGCGACCATGTGGTTGTCCACTTCCCTGATTTACCCTCCATCCAACAAACATTGGAAGTGGAACATGGCCCTTTGGAAGACTGATTTCCTCTACGAACAGGCTGTATGCCACTTCCAGGCAGGGTATGTCCCCTTTGCGCCCGCCCGCCAACACGTCCGGACGAGCTGAGGACAACCGGCCCCTCGGCGGATGGGACGGGGCGGGTGGGCAGAAGAGAAGAAGCCAGGAGCCATGAAGTGGGGTGAAAGAACACCCCCCCCCCGCCTTTTTCAGTCCTAGAAGTCCCAAGAAGCATTTTGGGAGCGACTGAAGTAAAGGAAGATAGGGAAGTTCCGCTGCTGCTGCTCCCCCTAGTTAGACCAGTCTTTTTTTATATAGTCGGTCTTTCACTCCATCTGAACCCTAACACCAACGACATCTGGGGGGTTTCTTTGCCTCAGGCAACGTGGTAGGGACGTGGTATTTCGACAACAGGGATTTTGCATGATTCTGAGCTTTTCAGCATTTGCAGCACGAGTGGTGCGTTTTGACGCTCATGTTCGCGGCATCGGTGGGTGCAGGGGTTTTGTGCGTCACGACGCGTTGGTGAGTGATACGTCGATTTGCTGGGTCGGACGAGTAAGAGCAAGATGGATGAACAGCAGTGTTGAACAGTGTTACCGTGTTACCCAATGATGAACCATGCAACAACCCATGGGCCAAAACAGAACAGCTACAACACAACTTCATTCATTGTCATCCAACACCCGATATTTGACACAAGAGCTTCTGCAATTCCAATTCCGAACACTTCAAGCTGGATCAAATTGGGGGTATGGCTATTCAAAAGTTCTGCCCCTTTTTTTGGCGCTTGTGAGCTTGACAAGTTGCCTATTTGCGGCAATTCTCCTCATCACAATCTTTTTGTTGGGATGTTTGATGAAGGGTCACAGACCTTTAGACCGTTTTGCGACGTTTTAAAACACATCTGCGGGGTTCCCTTCCAGGCTCCAGTGTCCGAGCTGGTCACCGGTCAAGTAAAGAAATCTGCTCGCTCGGCCTCCCATCGCCATGGCCAGGTCCCTCTTCTGTGACAACTTTGGAGATTCAGATCGGCAGCCAAAGACGCTGCCAGAGTGTCCAGCTTCGCCATGGGCCTGCGGAGCCCCTTGGCAGTGGAGGGGGTGGAGAACATGCGCTCAGTAGGTCTGACTCACTCACATGGAAGTGGAAAACCACTTGGTTCGTAAAGAAACGTCAATCTTCCAAGGGACCAGGCCATCCACTTCCATGGACTTCGTCAGAGTGCTCCCAAGTGATTCAGGCAGATTTTCCCGTGAGAACATGAGAGTGCTCCCACCAGCTCCCCGCCGTGGTCTCTTCCTTGCGTCGCCGTGGTCCGACAACTGGAGATGAACGTCCGAATGCCAATGACTGAGTTGCGTGTTCGCCATTGAACTGAGTGAAGACAACACATGCAGCACTGACAAATGCCCATGGAAAGGCAATCCGGATCAAGGTGGAGGAAACCACCCGCAGCCCCGGGTGTCCGTTTTCGCCGGGCTACAGGAGCCGAACGGGGCGGCTTCACCGGGCCGAGCAGCAGTGACATGAGATCTTCACGCAGATTTTGGGGTTTTGAGATGCATACTGAAATTGTCCACCTCCACTTGTTCTAGAAGGCTAGCCTACCCTCCTGAGGTGAGTAGAGGATGAATGTGCGTGGAACATTTACAACATGCCTTGGGCCTTTCTCTTGCTTGGCCAGACAAATTTCAACACGCCTTAAAGAACCTTTTGAAAAACCCATAGGTTGAGGTGTTTGAAGGTAGCTGTTGGAACAAACAACCTGTATCACGACCCTGCAATGGGTAAACACATGTCCAATGTGGGACCTTTGATTCATCCACCAATTCCACCTTCAGCTGAGCGCTTTTCTGCAGCTGGTGGCCACAAAGCCCCAAAGCTCCACCGAGACCTCCGCGCGTCCCGCCACGTTCTCCTCAGGTGAAGACGGAGATCGTCGACCGCGAGCTGCAGGTCAAGGAGACCATCGGGGCTTTGACCCCTGCGGCGGGGTGTTTCGGGGCCCCAGGAGGACGAAGGACACCAGAATCTCCTGTTCAATTCATGGGATGTTGGGGCTGCAGGGCATGAATCCCGGCGATGTTGGGGGATGTATATGTCACTTCAATGACTCACTCAACAGTGTTGCAGTGCTTTCAGTGGGTGGATGGAGCGCCAGAACTGGTGGTTCTTGGTGGATATTATTTGTAGCAGAGGTGTCAGAAGAATTCTGGTCATTCACAGCTGAGAAGTGGAGCTACCGGGGGCCAAGTAGCGCACACACCGATTGAAAGATGATTGAATGCATTTCCGAGCAGTAGCCAGCCGAAGGCGAGATCCCGAAATCGACCACGTTCGACTGATTCTGAATGCAGTTGGTACCTTTAAAGTCCACTCCCAGACGTTCCAGGTTTTGACCTACATCGACCTCAATATGGTGTGATGTTGTGGGATCTACCGTTGATAAACCTCCCTCCGCCAGTTGCCCGCCCACATCCCGTCCGAATTCCCCTTCCGCTTTTGCGTCTGGCCGACGTCCGAGGAGCTCAAGCCTTGGAGCGAATTGCCGAGCTTCGAAGTCTTTTTGGCCGCGTTGCCGGGGCGGCTCAGAGGGGCGGAAGCTGAGGGGATGTGAGGTCCCCCAGAAAGCTCATTGCTGGGAACTGCTGGCCCACTAGGGGTGTACAACCAATCACTGTGTCATACTGTGTTTTCCAAGAGTACTTGCAATTTAACGATGTTCAGCAGGGGTCACTCCGACTGAATGATCTCGGATTTTTCAACGCTGGGTACACCGCATTCGGAAGGCCAGACAGTCCTGCATCGAAAATGGCAGTATCACTTGCCAACGCAGAGTTTGCCCTTATCAGGCTGCCCATTCTGGCAGTGTACCAGGTCCTGGAAGAACATGAGTCCCTAGGACCGTTGATAGCTTGCGTACGAGGAGGGTTGAGATTTTCGAAGAGGATGACTTTACTGGTGGACGAATTGGAGAGAGCATGTAGCGCCGGAATGGCATCATGCTTGGATGTGAAGCTCACAGCAGCGCCGTCTCTCGTGATCGAGTCGCAGCTTTCATGGTCCAGGCAGTTGTGAGTTGTCCCTGGACCAACGAAGACGGACTCACAACTGGTGAAGCGAGAAGGGACGCCTTCTTGTGTACCTGCATTGATTTCTACTATGGATTGAGAGTAGATGGCACAGACCCCAAGAGGTGGTTTATATGGGCCCCCATCTAAAGGACATCTTGGGGTCTGTGCCATCGAACCTCTGAAACCACTGTAACTACCACTGTAATTGTCCTGTAAAGTGCTAGTACGTTTGTTAAGCAGTTCTGTTCTTCGGACCCTTTGGCCTTACCGTTTTTGCAAGTCAAGGGCTAGGTATTCAGTAAGTAAGTCACTTTCTGCAGTAACTAGATTGTTAAGGGCGAATGCCACAGCGAGCCAGTTACTGAAACTTATGCCCATTCATATGAGCTATGTATCTAAGTGTGCGCGCTGGGACTTTGGTGCAACTTGAATGTCTTCTTTTCGATCTATTTTGTGTGTGTGGGCTAACCGGCTCACCATTGCGCCGGCGTTGCTATTAACGACATGCGGCGGACATAGCGGACAGGTCTTGGGTCTCGGAGGAGTGGAGAGTTGGACTGAGGGAGGTCTGGTAGACGGGTGATTCGTTAAAACAAAGCAATACGAGGAGGTTTTACACGGATAGCTGGCTGAGTGAGGCGAGTTCCGTTGACATCGATCTGACCTATCTCAAGTATAGAAGGGCAAAACTATTGGGGGAAGTCTCTTTCAAAGGTGCCTGTCATGGGCCCCCCCTTTTTGAATTGCAAGAGGGCCTTCGAAGAGTAGGACCACCTGGAAGAGTAGGACCACCTGGAAGAGTAGGCCATGGAAGCAAGCACAAGGTGTTCTGAACGGTTTTGACCTTAGGGCCAGCATCCCCGAGTTTTTCAATAGGACCTCAAGTTAGGTGAAGCACTGCCCAAGCTCTGCCCAGGCTGTTCCTCCGACTTTTCAACAGGCAGTTCTGAACGGTTTTCACTTTCACAGGGGGCCTCCAGTCCTCCCTGGCGGACCAATAAACACTACCTCCGTTTGCGCCATCGTGGCGGCGACCGGCAGGGTGTGCGTCGCCGTGGCGGGGCTCATACGTATCATGCCTATGCTATTGGACCAGCTGGCGAGGCATCCCTGGTGGGGGCTGCGTTGGAGAACATGTGAGAACCAAAGGCCGTACCCGCCAGCAGATGAACATGGACCCCGAAAACCACTGGGTTGGTTGTCTTGCAGTTAGTTTGCGGGGGCGTAAACCCAGGCAGCTGCCAAGGGTGGGCAAAACCATCACCATGTACAGTACGATGCGAAGTGCCTGTCACACATGCCTCACTTGTGGACGTCCACAAAACACATGGAGTCCCGGAAAGGGTTGTTCGCATGCAGTGCTTCGTATTGGGCCCTCGCCATTACTTTGGCAGATGCACTGGGTAGGTGGTATTTGTGTGGTGGTGGTGTCATTTGGGCAACTGTTCAATTACAGTGCATAGATTGCACTTTCAATGGTCCCAGGCAGTTTCTTGCCTTCGTTTGCCGAAGGTCTTAAACCTATCTCATCCATGCAAAGCCATCATCAAGTGTATTGACAGAAGTTTCAAGATCGGTGCATCAGGAACTCCTTGAAAGTCGCTTACATGACAAAAAAGGCCGACAGTGAAAAACGGACTTCTATTGATTCTACAGTTTTGTAAAACATCAGTCAGCCTCCAGTGATTCCCCTTTGTTCCTACTACCCCAAGCTCCACCGCCGCCGCGCCGACATACGACCACACGCCTACTCGTCGTCCACGGGTCCAGGTGCTTGGACCGTTGCTGTGCCCGGCTGCCCTCTGCTGCAGCGAGCTCGGTGGGAAACGAGCCGGAGCGGGCCGAGGGCGGATCCGATGCATCAGGCTGCGGAGCCGGAAGTCGTATAGGCTAATAGAGGCTCTCCAACGGGGAGTGCTCCAACCACTGGGCTAGTTACTAGTTGTTTTCCTTCTTCTTCTTCACAGTTGGGGTTGGGTAATTATCAAGCATGGCAACTGACATCAGGAGCCAGCCACCAAAAGGGAGTTCTCCAATGGCTATAGGCGATCCTCAGGGCCTACGTGGGATCTTCAGGGCCCAGGGCCCCGCGAGCGACCATGGTTTCTGCAGGCCAAGATATCGAGGGGGCCTCCGGAAGCGCGTGGACTAGGCACCCGACACTGGTGTTTGTCCAAAGTCCCACTTCAGTCTTAGAAGATCGCTTTTTTGGTCCCAAAAGGCGTTGGTGGGGCCATCAAGCCATACTAACTAACCCAAGCGTTTGATCTAACCACAACCGCCCCTTCAGTCCTCCCCAAGGCTCGCGCGCGCCGCCGCCTCCGGCGCTCGGCGCGCGCCTGGCACGCGCGGCTGCGGCGCGGGGAGAAGCCGCCGAGGGGGTCCATGCACGGGGCACCCGGCAGCGGCGCGCGGCGACCGCGCCCGCGGGGAAGGGCTGAGCATGGAGCGCCGGGACGAAGGGAGGCGTGCGGCGACCGCTGCTCCTCCTTGGTGTGTGGAGAAATCAAGCGATTGGTGGTCGTATAGCTATAACATGTTCTATGTCGATCTATACATATCGGTCTATATATATATACCCTGGGAGTCAAAGACTATAAAAAGAATTGTCTTTAGGCGCCCCGAAAAGGAATTTCCTTTACTTCAGTTGGTCAACATATAGTCGAACTGGACTTCTAGGGGTATACGATCGGACGCTGCCAGATCGATCCGGCGAGGTCCGGCGGCATGACATGGGGCGAGGTAGTTGTATATAACTCCACGGTGATCTGTCAGAAAAAGCCATGATAACATCATGAAACACTTCGAAAGAATCAGTCAAGGCAACCAGGACCAGTACCAGGACCTCAAACCAAGCGATGCATAGGTCCTTGTCATTTATTTATACTGTTGACTTCGTCACGATCGGAGCGTCGTTCGACCCCTCGTGCTCCTTCGCCTCCCTCGTCGACTTCGTGGTCGTTCGACCTCCACACATCCAGGTCCAGCATGGATTCGGACGACGACCGGGAGAGGACGGCTCCGACCCCCTCGAGGGACTGACCGAGCGATGTTTCAGTTTGTGAATGTTCCATTGCAAGAAGGTCTCTAATTAATTGCTTTTTTTCCCGAAAGATCGCGAAAGGCTTGGTCGAAGGGCTCTTCCTAAAGGCACTTGGTTTGTCTAGCTGAGGCTGTAGCACTTGTAAGAGTCTAGCACTTGCAAGAGACTTGATCAAGTTTTAGCACTTGGTCTGTCTAGCTGAGGCTGTAGCACTTGTAAGAGTCTAACACTTGCAAGAGACTTGATCAAGGTTTAGCACTTGGTCTGTCTAGCTGAGGCTGTAGCACTTGTCAGAGCCTAGCCCCTGCAAGAGACTTGATCAAACTTTTGAACTTGCAAGAGACTTGACCAAGTTTTTGCTTTTGCAAGACGCTTGACGCAGTTTGAGCACTTGCAAGGCACTTGACCAAGCTCTAGCACTTGCAAGAGACTTGACCAAGTTTTGTCTTGACATCTCGCTCTTCCATTGCAGTATCTTTAAAGCCGGGGCGGGCCAAGCGAGAGCTTTTAGCAATTGAAACGTGCCTGCGCGATGCATAGGTATCAAAAAACATAAAACGAGCATCCAAAAATATAAAGATGATCAAGCTAAAAATATAAAGCGAATCAAAAACCTATATTCCTTGATAGGCCTCTTCTGCTGCTCTCCTGGCCCTGTGGTCTGCGGGTCCTCTGGTAATAAGGTCCCTTGGTCCTTTGGTCCCCTGGTCCCTTGGTTCTTTGGTCCACTGGTCCCCTAGTCCTCCGGTCTCCTGGTCCTCTGGTCCTGTGGTCCGCTGGGCCCCTGGTGTGCTGGTCCTTCTGTCTCCTGGTCCGCTCTTGCTCTCCTACTCCGCTCGTCTTTCGGTCTCCTGGTCCCCTGCTTGCGCAAATCGAGGCTTGATTGCTTTCTACTAGAGGCAGCTCCCTGGGAGGAAGGTAGGTACCCAATGATGGTAGCCGTCCAGTCATTGAGTAGCCCTACTCGAAAATGGTTCACCAGTAGAAATAGCTCCCTACTAGGAAGGAGCTCCTAGGGAGGTACACTCTCCTAGTCCCCTACTCCTTCCATCCTCTTCCCTTGGGTCTCCTAATCCTGCTACTGCTACTGCTACTACTACTACTACTACCACCCCAACCATCCTGAGTTTTTTTTCATTGATCCCCGTTGAATACTTTTTTGGATTCTATTTTTTTTGGATCCCTTACCCCCTGCGCGACCCTCTCGCAGGATCGGGCTGGTCGAGTGCCCAAACGTGTAGCCAAATGCGAATTCTGCCCATGCTTGCGCGTCCCTCCCGCAGGAGGAGGATCCGGCTCGTGGCCTCAGAGCTGGCAAGCTTATAGTACAAATGTAGTACAGGAAGTAAAGGAACCAGCTTCTGTGTGAGGTGGCCTCAGATGTGGTCACTTTAAAGATGGTAAAGATTTTGTGGTAGACGTGTGAAAGCTAGCCTTAGCTAGCTGAAGTTGCTCCTTTGCTTTAGCAAGTTAAATGATGGGGTGGACGCGCCTCAGAAACTTCAAATAATTGATTAAATCAATCTTATGGATCCCCCCCTCCCTCCGGAGGTTCAACTCCCCCCTGCGCGCGGTGAGCGGGTGGACAAAAAATGCTGTTGCTGCTGCTGCTGCTGTAGCTGCTGCTGCTGGTGTGCTCGTTTGCTCCTGCTGCTTGCTGCTTCTGGGTGGTCTGCCTTGGCTGCGTCTCCTGTTGCTGCTGCGGGGTGGGCTGCTGCTGCTGCCGCTGCTGTGGCTGCTACTCGGTTTGCTGCTGCGGCTGCTGCTGCTGTTGTGTTTGCTGCTGACGCTGCCGCAGCTGCTGCTGCTGCTGCTGGTGTTGCTGCTGATCCTGCTGGGTGGTTTGCTGCTGCTACCGCTGCCGCCGCTGCTGCTGGATTTGCTCCTTCTGCTGCTGGGTGGGGTCTGCTGCCGCCTTGGCTGCGCCTCCCACCCCGGTTCATTCCCTGCGGCTATGTGCTGTGGGAGCACTTGGACTCCACGTGCGCTCTAAAGCAGTTTTGTCAACCTTTGAGTGCCGGAGCCAAATGACGCTACCTGACTCCACATCGGAACTAGTGGTGTACGAGGGGTAAGGCTATGATGCAAGAAATGCCGCCTGCACATTGCACCCAAGAAGGTGTTACTGTTATTCGTACCAATTTTGGCCCAGCATTTCCAACATTATGGCCTCACGTGCTCGCCTGCTGGTCTGCTGCTGGGTGGTCTGCTGCTGCTGCTGCAGCTGCTGGGTGGTTGCTGCTGCTTGGTGGTTTGTTGCTG